ACAAGAAACTCTGAGAACAAACCAACGAGGAGCATATCGCTCAACAAATATGTGAGAGAAAATGGAGGTTGATTGGGTATACGCTACTGAGGAGGCCGCCGAATGACATCGGACGCAATGCAGGCCATTGCTTGAGCAGAATCCCAATGGTAAGGGACGAGTGAGCCGTTAGTGTGAGGGTGACATGGAACAGTTCGTGGGAGGAGATGAGAGATTATAGGCAGTCATGAGCCTAGCTAAAGAGGATAGTAGAAAATAGAAAAAAGGTGGAGATGTGTTGTTGAAGCCCTATGTTCCACCCGGAACCCAAGGGAATAATAATCATAATCTTCTGTATTAGCACTTATTTAGCATAATTTATAGCTGCTTCACTCAACGATTATCCACAGTTGTCCTTATGATGATTATTACGACTGTTAACATTTCTATGTATTCAAACTCTCGTCAGTAGTTAAATTGTGGCATACTCTCCAATTACTTACGAGATCCAGGGTACGATTCTCGACCGTTGCACTCCTAAACCTTGCTTAGCCGGTAGAAAACTCTGTAAAACAGGAAGCATGGACACGAGAAAAACAACCCCAACCCGTAAAAGCAACAACACCATCGCTACTGTGAAACTTCAAAGCTTTCAAGCTTACCAACAACAGGTAGCACTAATCACTGTCAACGGAAGGAATTTGAAGCAAGTCACTTATTTCATTTATCTAGGCAGTATCATTTCAAATGCAGTCGAATCATGGATGAGGATGTTAAAATCAGCCAGGATCAGAAAGACAAGGCAAATCTTCGTTACTCTGAAAGCAGTTTGTAACTCTTCTGCACTCAGCAGAAACAACAAAATTCAGATTTTCAAGACCAATTTGTTAAGTCAGTTCTTCTATGTAGGTGAGCAACTTGGTGTGTCACTAAATGCATTCCCAACAGGCCACTGCTGACTTTCATCAACAGCTACTATCGCTCCATATTGAAGAGCAGATGACTGGCCGGAAAGAATAAGCAACAAGGAACTCTTGAAGATCAACGAACCAATCAAGAACACATTACCCAACAGATATGGAGATGGACCGGACACACGTTGAGGAGACCATTGATTGACATCGCGCGCCAGGCCTTAGACTGGAACCCGTGTGGGAAACAACGAGTTGTGCGTTGGTCGGGGAGTGACATGGGGGATATCGCATAAGGAGACGGGGTCAGCTGAAGAGGACAAGTCGCAGTGGGAATGTTCCTGTTGAAGCCTTGTGTTCCACTCGGAACCTAACGGAATAATGCTTGATCACTGCTACTACTGTGTGTCAGAACTTTTGGTTATTGTGATAATAGAACAACATCACTACCACAATCCTTCTTGTTTTCTTCCGTATTCCTGTGCAGAAGTTGTATTTAATACTTAGTATGGAAATTATTTGTTAATTCAACCAAAGAATAGTACAGAATTTCGCAAAGTCTAGCAATGCTTAGTAATGGAATTGGCAGAAGTTAGAATTCATGGGCCATTGGATCGGGTCCCAGTGACTTAATGATCTGCGAGTTCGCCTTGTAATCAGAAGGTCCTGGGTTCGAACCGTGGCGGTGGGGACGCACTGATGAAGAGTCCCAAACTAGTACGAAACAGCTGTCCAGTACTCCCAGCCGGTTTTCTAATGGTTCTCTAACTGGTGTCAACTCATGATGAAATCCTCCAACCAATCAAACACAATCCCTACAAAACCAATACTTGAAGAAAACGTTTCTATATGCTGAAATTTGCAGCGTAAAGTGCTCGACAAGAACCTACATGGTCCGGTTCCCAACTGACGCATTACTAAACCGCATTTAGCCGGCTGTAAGTCCAGTAACGGAGGGGAAATTGTGTGTGAGGTTAGCAACCCTCCCCCCATCATCATCATCATCATCAGTCCCTTGACTTTCGTCGTGGGGGTGCTATGACAGTTCGCGCTATCAGTCTCCGCCATTCTTCTCGGTTTAATGCTATTTTCTGTAGCGTATCCAAGGGCATTTCAGTCCACTCTTTTATGTTGTCAAGCCAGCTCTTATTCGGTCGACCTCTCTTTCGTGCTCCTCCTACTGTGCCTTGTAGAATCGTTTTGGACAATGTGTCATGTCTTACCGTGTGGCCGAACCATTGTAGTTTCCGTTTCTTTACGATTGAAAGGAGTGGTTCCTGTTTTCCTGCCAGTCTATGGACCTGGTGTAAGACATATTCATTAGTTTTCCTTTCAAGGTAACTTATTCCTAGGATCCTTCTATAGCTTTTGTTTTCGAAGGATTGTATTCTTCTGCATTCAGGGTCCAGCTCTCACATCCATATAGGAATACAGAGAGGACCAGTGACGAGTAGAGTTTCATTTTTGCTGAGACGCTGATGTTGCTCTTCCATATTTTCCCTAACTTGGACATGGTGGCAGAGGCTAGGTTTAGTCGAATTTTTATTTCCTTAGTGGACCTTCCATCTTTTGTTAGGGTAGACCCAAGGTATTTGAAAGTTTCAACCTCTTCTAATACATGTCCATCAAGTCTGATACATCTATCTGAGTTGTTTCCTCCGTTAATGAGTATTTTGCTTTTTTCTGTGCTGATTTCCATGCCCACAGATTTGGTTGCAACATCAAGTCTTGAGGTGAGGTCCTGAACTTGATCAATGTTTTCCCCAATGAGGGCTATATCATCAGCAAATCTGAGGTTGGAAATTGGTCTTCCGTTTATGCTAAGTGTCGGTGTAAAGTCATGTAGGGTTTGTGTCATAATATGTTCGAGGAATAAATTAAAGAGGACTGGTGAGAGAATGCACCCTTGGCGTACTCCTATAGTTGTTCTGAAGAACTCGCCAGTTTGATTATTTAGAGATACTGCACTACTAGATTTGTTATATAAAGACTTAATAACCTCAATTATGTTTTTATCTATATTGTAGTTATTCATGACTTGCCATAAGCCTTCGTGCCACACACGGTCAAAGGCCTTCTTAAAATCGATAAAGTTGTGTACTAGCATTTTTTGGTGTTGTAGACATTTTTCGTTTAGTACCCTTATGTTAAAAATTTGTTCAGCAGTGCTTCTGCCCGGCCTGTTCTTCTGAGAGTATTTCCTCTACTTTCTTTTTGAGTCTGTTCAATATGACTTTCAGCATGACTTTACTTGGGTGGCTGATTAAACTTATTGTTCTGTAGTTCTCGCAGTGCTTTGCGTCCCCTTTCTTAAATATTGGAATGATTAGTGACTGAGTCCATTCTTTAGGCCATTCTTTTTCTTGCCAGATTTTTTGACAGGCTGCTTTCAGCCATTTAACTGTTTGTGGTCCACCATGTTTGTTTAGTTCTGCCGGTATGTTGTCAATTCCTGGTGATTTATCTCCCTTAAGTGATTTTATTGCTTCCTCTACTTCTGACTCTAGTATGGGTGAATCACCGATCTCCCTATTGTCCCAGCATGAATTGTTCATTAGGCTATAATTAGAGCTTATTTTATGATTGTAGAGTCCCTTACAGTATTCTGTCCACCTTCTAAGGATATCTGCTTCTTCTGTTAAGAGGGTGCCTTTACCATCCTCAATTACGGTTGCTCTATTCAGTTTCGTATTGGTCAGCTTACTCAGTGTTTCGAATGCTTTTTTATTGTTGCCTCCCCTTAAGCTATTATCGATGATATTACATTGCTCAGTAATCCAGCCCTCTTTTGCTCTCTTCATTTTGGAGCGTATTTCTTTGTCTACTGTTCTATACTCTTCCCTGTACTGGGAATTAAGTCCTTTCTTCTTTTTTAGTTCTCTTCTTGTATCACACAGGTTTAAAATATCGTCTGTGGCCCATGGTTTGATTTTCTTTCTTTTGTTACCCAGAACTTCTGTTGCTGATTAATGCAGCACTGTTTTAATGGTTTCAGTGAGTGAATCGATATTGTCGTGAATCAAGGTAAGTGCAGCGAACTTGCCCCCTACATTTTCCTTAAACATTTCTGCTATGTTTGGGTCCCTAAGTTTCTCTAGGTCATATCTGATTCGAGGGCTTATTTGTCTGCGGTTCTGTTTTAGTTTTAATTTTATAGTCATTAAAACCATGTCATGATCGCTGCCTATGTCTGCTCCAGGAAAAGTTCTGGTTTTAGCCTTGTTAATGCTTGACTTGAATCTTGCTGGGAACAGAATGTAGTCTATCTGGCTATGTGTTTTGTTGTCAGGTGAGTGCCATGTTGTTTTCCTTGATGTCTTATGAGGGAATAGAGTGTTGGCCAGTGTGAGCTTGTGGCTGCTTGCAAATTCCAGCAGTCTTATTCCTCTCTCATTGGTTTCACCTAATCCAAAACGTCCAGCTGTGCCTGCCCATTGGTCATATGCATCTTCACCTACCTTAGCATTCCAGTCACCCATGACAATAAGAATGTCTTTTTTCGGAGCCTCATTAATACACTCCTCTAGTTCATCATAGAAGCATTCTACTTCCTCGTCCTGGTATTCAGATGTAGGCGCATAAACTTGTATTATTGTTATGTTAAGTAGTTGAGCCCTAACTCGTAGAGAAATGATTCTATTGTTTACGGGTCTACAGCTTATTACAGAGTTAACTTGTTTTTTGTTTACGATGAAACCCACACCATGTTGGTGTTTCTCTTCGTCCCCACTGTACCATATCTTATGACCCTCTTCTGTAGTTGTTACTCCCGAGCCTGTCCACCTAACTTCTGATAAGCCTAGGATATCCCATCGGCATTTACTGAGTTCATGGGTCAGTTCTTTGACTTTCCCACAGGCATAAAGCGTTCGAACATTCCATGTTCCTATGACTGTGTCAGCATTTGGGAGTTTTATTAGTCGGTGTGTCTCAGTAGCTAACTTATCACTTCTGCCCTGTGACACGGCAGCAGAAAGCGCGGTCGTTGTTAAACCGGGCCCCGACCGATCCGGCATGGCGTTTACTGATATTGTTCTCATCATAGCATTACACTGGGTTTGATAGGTCTTGACGGCACCCATCTCCTCTCCAAGACCGACCCTCCCCCCGCCCCCCGTAAAAACAACAACACCATCGCTATTGTGAAACCTCAAAAATCTCAAGCTTCAAGTCCTATGCGCCACTCGAAACGCAAAGAAATTAAAAAAATAATAAAGAAATATGTCGAAATAATTAATGTATGCAATCAAAAGAGTTATACGCCTGTAATAAAATGCTTGACAAATTAGCCTTACTATAGTTAATTTTGGTGTACAACAATTTGTCTATTTTCATTTAACAAATAGTCATTGTAAAGGGTTCACAGTGGAAAAAAATGTTTACTTTTTTTGTTTTACCTAAGGAGGATTAATCACAGCACACGTCAGGTCAGACGAGAAAAAACAAAGAAGAGATGATGCAGTGTAATGATCAAAATAACAATAATAATAATAAAAGAGAAAGATACTGAGTTGAAATAAAATGACTGAGCATTCAATCAAGTACAACAACTATACTTCTAATTTATCAAAGCAAAAAAAACAAAGAAAACCTGTACAACTACTCTCTTTTTATATTTCTCGTCATCATATTTCCTGAAATAATGCAGCAAAAATATATTATTATTGTTTTCGTTTTTTTTTACAATGGAATTACCAAAAGCTATGAGAGAACAAAACTAGTAGTAAAAGTATTACACATATGAAAGTCTGTTTGATCATGTGATGGATGATATGAACGGAGAAGAAGAACGGAGACTAACTCGACTTGTTATTATTATTGTTCATAGGTCTGATAGACATTAGATGTCGTATCTCAGCCACTGCTGAACAAAATTGACACCAAATATATTGTATTTCACCGTTTTCCAAACTATCCCCACCGAAGTTGTTTACAAATTCTATATTACTAAGCAAACGAGGAGGATTTGCCTTTATGGGAAAAAAGACGGGGAAAACCAAGAAAAGGTGAATAAAGCGCAACTGTAGGTGTTTAGAATACATAAGCTTCAATACATAGAATAAATTCATTTCATAAAGAACATACAGTGATATAGGATTATCCCCTGATGTGATAACGTTTCGAGCATAGTTTACGGCTTATATAAGATTCAGCTTTATTTTTACATTGGTACCACTGTATCGTATCCTTCGACTTTTCTTCGGGATAATATTTTGATGTGGTTGTGTTCTCTAAGCTGTGGTATTATGTGTTAAGTTTATTTAAAACACAAACTTAGTGCGATATGGGCACCAGCAGATGTGCCGCACAACAATGACAGAATTCCTCCAGAAAGCAAGGAAGAGAGCATATTTGTCATGATCGCTCAACATTCATTACTTCATGGTAATTTTAGAGAGGGAAGAAAGAAAGAAGCTGCAGCATGTTCGTCATTGATTGCGATTTTTGGCCATATCTGATAACGTTTCGATCCATCGATTCGAACTATCTTCTGGATCCCAACCAAGGAGTTACGATGTACTATCTAACTGTAACCTGACAGAAATAGTCTTCGTCACACGATGCCATGTCATAGGCTGACCACCTCTTCGCTTTTACCATCCAGTCCCAAGGTTAGCGAACAGAGACCAGAAGCCAACGGGATGACATTTGTAGCAAATATCAAGGCCACCAAAGCCGGTATTTCCAGACGACGACATTCAATGAATGTTGATACCTATCATGCCCAAACACACGGTGCAAGACCTCAGGATTATTCATGCAAGCAATTCTACGTAGACAGTGATGATCGAATGCGCAGAGTTGCTGCACCTCCTCAGCTCGGAGAGGCTAAGTTTCATAGGCTCAGGGCAAGACTGCGCGCGCATCGAAACAGCGCCGAATGTGGCTCAAATTGGCACATGCCACCTTAGCTTTCACTATACGGTTAGAAACTTCGTCAGTCCCACCTTCGCCAGACTTCACACAACTACTTAGATACAAGAACTTGTCGACAACTTCAAGCGGTTCATCTTCATCTACCGACATTTACCGTTATATAACTGTAGATCTGTCCTACCCTCTTATTTGTTATTGAACGTATTACCATTGCTGAGTTATTCTCTGAGCTAATCAGCTTTCTGGGGAAAATTTCTATGTTCTGATAACCTACTTGACCCAGAGGCCTACTGGATTGACCCAACATGGTTGACCTCACAATTACTCCAAGATATTTTGTCTAATTGTGTCTATAGGGTCCTTTAACCTCCAGAGCATGTCCCTGCGTAGGCTTTTAGATTCTAATGCGACCCTAAAACATATTTTACTAAGAAAACTACGTAGAGTCTCCGATGTTACTTCCTTTAAAATGGTAACACCGTAGACGTCTTACGTTCTTTCTTACTTATGTTATGGTCAGTAGTTTCACGTCTACTTTTACTTTTAATACGCGCTTTTTTTTAAACTTTGTCTTAATGATGTGATGAAACAGTCTGGATGAATGACCTTCAGTGTTTTAATAGTTCATTTGAAAACAAAGGAAGAGTAGACTGAGCAATTAGTGAACTAAAACAAACAAGAGAAATAATTTTCGCTACAGACTGCAAATACTAGTCAATTTATTGCTAGCTAGTTTAGGACAGATAGATAATTAGTACTTTCACAATCCAAAGGTTGCTACTAATTCAAACTTAGACAGAACAACTATGGGAATGAAAGCCTTGTTTTGTAGTCGCATTTTAGAGAGATAGACGTCATTTCAGCATATATACACAGATGTTCACTCAGCAGACACGTGTGGTCTGGGTTCAAATTCCCGGTCGACACACTACCAAACCTCAACACAAGCAGTAAGCCCGGTACAAAATAGAGTTCGTTGTGGCTAGGATCCCCCCCCACCCCATAAAAAGGAAAAGATAACTGATATTGAAGCTTCAAAGAAGCACTAGCTTGAAGCCCTCTCTCTACATTCCACTCGGAATGTGAAGGAATGAAGAAAACAAAAGAGACAAGATTAGTGAAAATGGCACATTATACAACACTAACTTACTTGTATTATTAAATAAATAAGAACAGGCAGAAGATCATCTGCGCATGGTATTGATGTTGGATGGGCCAATTGTAAGGCAGCTAGAATATGATTCATAACACGTTTAAGGCAACGAAATTTATCGAATGGTGTCTACGAGAAAATAAAGAGAGTAGTAAAATAGAATAACTTTGTCAGTAAATGATTAAAAATCAAAATTGAAAAAATGTTATACACTGACATCATCACATAATTAATTTTTTTTACGAGTTGATCACGGATTGATATTAGTTAGAGAACCAATGATAACCAGCAACGAGTACTGGACAGCTGTTTAATCCTACTTTGCGAATCATTAGCAGTACGCACCCACCACAGTGGGATTCGAACCCAGGACCTTCCGGTTACAAGGCAAGCTGGCTCGTATACCATTCAGCCACTGGGATCCGATTCAATAGATAGTTCATGAATTCTAACTTCTACCAATTCGTAATATAGCGCGACCCCAACTGATGTCATCGGTGGGACATCCTTCCTCACATTTGACTGGTTGGACCTCACTGGTCACGACTTCTCACTAGAACTTCAAGCAACTTCGTCCTGTAGTCAGTCACTAGCAAGCATCAGATCGATTTTCTATAGTTATTTTGTAAGGATTAGTGTCTTGTTTTTATGAGTTGATCTGGCTGGCTGGCTGGATTCAACATAGAACTTGACACCGAAGTGCAGCACTTCGAGTTGCCACGTTCCAAATAGCACACAAAGGTAGACAAGAAGATGAGTGAAGAGAATCAATAGAGTTTTGACAAGTATAAGAGTGAAACAGAATGAGTAATGGTAGAGAGGAATATGAAAGATTACAGAGACTGAATACATCTGCGCCATTGACAACGATTTTGAGCCATGTCACCTATTGTCTCCAGCCATTGATTCTTAGAGTCCCGATGGCCCACCACTTACTCTTTTCCAGCCTGCACCTATATCACAGGCCACTGAATCGGGTTTCAGTGGCTGAATGGTATACGAGCCAGCTTGCCTTGTAACCGGAAGGTCCTGGGTTTGAAACCCACTGTGGTGGGTGCGTACTGCCAATGATTTTCAAATTAGGATGAAACAGCTGTCCAGTACTCCCTATTTATTTTCAATGGTTCTCTAACAGATATCAATCCGTGATCAACTCGTAAAAACAAAACTAATCCTTACAAACCGACTATAGAAAAACATAATTGACTAATTATAACAAGAATTGTTCACATTTTTAGGTTAATATATTCAGAGATTCTGTTAATAGCATTAGGTGATATCAAATTGTTTTTAGATTACATCATAACTACCTTATGACTTACATATTAATTTTTTTATTAGATATAGCACACAGTGAAACAGTATTAGTATTCACTGGATGACATTTCAAACACAATTTATTACTGATCATAATCATCATTCCATCAATTATAATCACACGACTTCGAAACTTGGGTTTCATAGTTTTTTGTGTTCTGTCCTATTTGTCGTCGTAGTGAAAGTAGAATTTTTCACATGTTCGGCTGAACAGGTGTTGAATCATTCCTGTTACACGTATTCTATTCAGTTGATTCGATAAACAAAGCTTCCGTTATCAATTTGATCTGAAAATCATTGCAGAGTATTATTATTATTAGTTATTATTGTTCCCTTGGGTTCCTAGTGAAACATAGGGCTTCAACTGCACGTCTCAACTTGCTTCTGTCTTCTGTCGTACTTTTCACCTGCATCCATGTTATTCCATACTGTTTCAACTCCTCTTCACACGATCTCCTCCATGTCACCCTTGGATGTCCCACTCGTCACTTCCCTTTCGGCTTCCACTCGAGGGCCTGACGCGCGATGTCACCCAGGGTATTAGATAAACTAAATTGTTTTGTTTAATTGGCTACACAGGATACTTTGACCAACAAAGCTTGTTTCTAATTGAGTTTGTGGGTTTGAGTGCCACTTTTATTCCTGCGTTGTTAAGAATTCTCCGAAAGGTTTGCGAGGTTCCTCCTTTGTAAAGAAGTACTCCTGATGATTTATATTCCATTTTGTTGGCGTTGTCATTATCCTATACATGTCGTCGTTAATATTATTATTACCATCACTATCACTACCTTTATTATTTTTATTTTAACATTTTTCTACATACTTCATGATTAATTTATCTAGGTAATTATTAAGTTTCAAAGCTTCTCTTGTATGCCTCAATTCCTGTCTTAGATTTTCCTAGGTACTACTTAGTTTTTGTGCCTTATAACTTGAGCATTTCACCAGTCCTATTTTTTACTGACACCGCATCGAATGACGAGAAATCCAAGTATCGGTTTGAATGTGTAGGTGGAGGGAGAGATTGATAATGGAATCTTTGTTTATCAAATCAACTACAAACACGTGTAATAGGAATGATTCAACACCTGTTCAGCCGAACATGTGAAAAATTCTGTTACCACTACGACGACGAATAGGAGAGAACAAAGAAAACTATAAAACTCAAGTTTCGAAGTCGTGTGATTATAATTGATGGAATGATTATGAACAGCAATAAATTGTGTTCGAAACTTTGTCATCCAGTAAATACTAATACTGTTTCACTGTGTGATATATCTAATAAGCAAACTAATATGAAATTACATACTACCACAGTGCCCAAGTTTTACACATACATTAATACGTTATGACTTGAAGAAAAAAAATACTGTGAAAGCCAACTCGAAGAAATCTGTCTATATCAGTTTGCCATTCAAAGGAGATGATGTACAGGAAGTAGTCAAACGAAGACTCGATACAGCTATGAAGAGAACTTATTATGCTGCAAAACTAGTTTTCCTTAACACCACTAAGCGAGTGATTAAACAATCTGGGAAAGACCAGTCGCCAATCTTCGACACTTCAAACTGCGTATATCAATTTGAGTGTGTTTGTGGAAGCAAATACATAGGTCGCACAGAAAGCCCATTGTCTACTCGCATAATGGAGCATTTGCCAAAATGGTTGAAAACAGCTGAGTGCAAAGTGCCAAAATCCTCAATAACAAAACATCTTGTGGACTATGGACATGATATCGACGCTGTCAAGTCATTCACTATTGTCAGCAGACAGACAAAGAAACAGGAAGATGCTTGCAATTGCAGAGGCTTGTGCAATCCGAGTTTATAAACCAGGTCTCTGTGTGCAAAAGGAGATGGTCGTCACTCTGAATCTACCATGGTAATACGTTTTACTTATTATTCTACCTCTTGTGATTATTATTCTTGATTCATTTAAAACTATCTTTTATCAATAGCATTATCTTAACTCACTTCAACATTATTATTATTATTGTTACTATTACTACTGATATTACTCTGTTTGCAATTCTTGTTATATTCTCTAATGACTAATTGTTTATCTAAGTGATGCAATTGAAGCGTAATGCATTTTATCTTAATTTTAATCTCTCATACTCCCCCTCCCCTTATCTATTTGAACATGACCTGGAAAACATTCACACCTGTCTTTCTGCATGACTAATTCAATGTAGTTTATTTACTTATCAGTCTTATATCTCCCAATGTAATTTCAAAAGTATATATATCCATGTATGTAGAGTATTCAGCTGAAGAGGAATTTTACCGAAATTAGATGAATTCATTTAATCATCCTGCTTTATTAACCTTTTTTATTTTTGATTACAGCTTGATTCAACACCGTATTTTTTGGTACAGGTATGGCATTTTCAGCCTGTGATATCGGTAGCCCAAATTTTGCAGGCCGATCATAGATATCAGGTGTGCGTCGGCAGGGGGATCGAACCCTGGACTATTTGCATGGTCGGCGACAGTCCTAACCACTGTGCATGTTTTAAACTCGAAGTCCACATTATTCTAAAAATCATTCCCAACATTTATTAAGAATCAGATGAAATAGTAATGCAACAAATGGACCACTACTGTAGAGTATACTTTCTTTCTAACAGACAGTAGGATGTATCAATAAACATACCAAATTCTGTGAGTTAAGTGCCAAAACAATCTTCAATATCCATAATGGGTTCAATAAATAAGACTCGCTGTGATGTATATAAAAATAATAAAAACTACTGTAACGAAATCATATGTTACCACAAATATCCACATTTCCCGCATATATATATATATATATATATATATATATATATATATACCTAACTTTCTTTTAATGAACTCAGGTTTATGTAAACTGAAGCAAGATTTGAAAACCATCAGATTTCTAATATTCAATGTCTTCAAATTGGGATCATTTCTAAATATCTATACGTCTATAGTCCCCCAGTCCCAAAGGTTAAATTTAAAGCAGTAGGTATAGTGATTACATAAGATACGTGTGAAAATTTATATAGATTTACAGAACAGTTTAAAAAGCTATACAAAATCTAGAATGAAAACAAGAAGTTGAAAAACACTACGGGAGACAGTTACCAACAAAGATTATGACGATTTAAGAGAATCTTTCAATGATGCCAAAACAGCACCGTTCAAAAATTCAACGAAAGTACAAATCAGGAAATTTAACAAAATATAATGGCACAAAAGTACGTCCTTGACAAAGGATAAATCAGAGTTGAGCTACCAGTCTCTTAGCATAGCTGTTAATTTCTACAAAAAATCAAGGTTTTGGGCATAGAACTACTTGTCAAATGTATCAGTAGATAGATACATTGAAACCTGACGATGTCATTTCTAAAATACACTCACTTTTATTCTAACTGTTTCCCATATTAAAGGATGAGAACTCCTACCTTTTCGTTACTATTTAAATCATATAGGTAAATACCGCGCTTAAATTTAATTTTTTATTCGAATATAGACATGTTTTTATATATCTAGTCTAACTAATGCCTCAATTAAAATTCCAACAGGACAGAAACACAGTCTCCCATCTATTCGCAGGTGCTTACAGACTGTCTAATTAGCTTTCAAATTTAATCTTTTTTATTGACCTTTTATCTATCAAATGTTCAATATTTGAATCACCATGGTGCTGGGACGGATAACTTATCGTTTTTAGCCGTGAAGCCATGGTTGATGCATGCACTGACTTGATAACCTGATTGGACAGATTTTGATTGATTGATTTTTGGAGGATCTTTAAGGTCATGCGATCAATCAAATATTGATTATTTATGGTTGAAACTTCCGTGGATTGTATGATAAAAGTTATCGAGGTTGTGGCAGTTAAATCTCATTTATGGAGGAAATATTTTCAAGTGATCAGTTGGTTATAGTGTCGTGTCTAGAGGTGCATTCTAGTCAAGTCAGACGACAACCACACAAATCAGTAACACTCCGTTAATAACACCAGGTCACATTTTTGTAAAGAAATGAAAATTTATTAGTAGTAGTATCCATATTGTGAGGATGTTTTGTATTCTGATATCAGTTGAGTAGAAGCTTATATCACCAATAAGGTTCTTCCAAGTAAGCGGTGACTACTCAGCAACACTATCAACCAATGAGATATACAGGTTAATCGGTATCGGCCTAGTCTAGTAATAATCGATTAAATAACCAGTTAACTTGCAGCATCACAGTAATAAAGAAGCAAATCTAACTCATGATTAATCAATATGAGGGCGAAATTCTTTTATAATCATTAATTTAAAAGCCACAGAAAGTTGTTGATAATGATGCAAACAAACAACATAAAGGGATATATGACAGAAAGATTACAAGGGGGATTAATAATGGCTCTGAAATAGGTTAGTACTCAGAAGAAAACAAAAAGTATCCAAAATAGGGGATTTATCCGTCATTTTTCGGAGCTATTTATATAAATTTGTCATAATTCCCTAAGTGAACTAACTATAAAAACATTTATTGTTCTTGTTGAAGACGACCGGAACTAGAATAATACTCACTAAAATTACAGAAGAGACGAAAAATCTATTCTCAAGAGTTAGTTTCTAGGGATTTGATTTTTTTCCAAGTTTGACGGCGGGCCGATATCAGCCAGAGAACCTATGGAAAACCAGGGAGTACAGGACAGTTGTTTCGTCCTAGTCTGGGATTCTTCAAAAACAACAACCACCCACCAGGGTTTGAGCCCAGACCTTCTGGTTACAGGGTAGGCTCGCAGACTGTTCAGACACTGAGACCCGTTTCAATGGCGAATGCAAGGATTCCAACTTCTACCCATCCGTGATTTCAGTGCGATCACCAACCAATGTCATCGGGGAGTATTTGTTCTTACTCTCGACATGGCGGACCCCACTTGTCACGACTTCTCATTGGAACTCCAGGCAACCACAGCCTGTAGCCAGTGAGTAACCAGTCTCACATTAATTTTCAAAGATATAAAATCCGAAATGAAATCAGTCGAAATCTGCGGAATATATATATATATAACTGATATAAAGACTCCATATTTATTCCGCACAACTGAAAAGAAGATTCACACACATCGTCATGAAATAATGGAGAAGGTTTGTGATACAGTTACATGCTTCTCGTGTTGTTGTGTTGTGCTGGAGCAACCAATCATAGTTAGAGGTAACATTGTGGTGAGAGCAGTCAAGAATTTAAGGCAGAAGCAGCGCAGGGATGTCGCGAAGTCTGAGCAGAGAGGAAAGACTCAGTGCATTACCTTTGTAGTTGGGGACCAAGTGAAGTGTAGAGCCAGGTTCACGAAAACTCCTTCCAAAGTGGGAAGGACCATACACAATCACAAAAAGGCGGGGTCAAGTATATACCATCAGAAGAGGTGACAAACAGAAACGAGTTAACGCCAGTCAGATCCAACGATGGGTGCATTGGGACAAGCCGTTCTGTAACAATCATCAACTAGAGGATGCATCACCCAGAAGGTCGGAACGCCTGCGCGCGAAGCTATTTGACGGGGAGACGAGTGTGGTGAGAGATGGTTGCTAGCCAAATCGGTAGACAGTAATTGATATCAATGTTTATGTCCCAAATATTAGTCATGTGAAAAAAAAGATCAAAGAAGGACAGCAGACTTTGCGTAGGCGGATACAATTTGCAGAGAGATGATCTGACATTCAAGAGACAGCCACAAAGAGATGAAAGATTAACTTTTAGTGAGAAACAACCAATCAGAAGACTGTGTTTGTCCGCTAACAATAATCTATAATAATGTACATGAAAATCTTTAAATATGTGTTGATTTTCATAATAAACAATCTGTTGCCTGACTCTTGCCTTCTGTCGTTACAACATTAGGGAAAAACACTTTCTCAAAGACAACTTCATCACATTAAATTTAGCACCGAAGATATTGTTGAAAAGGACAATTAAAGCCTTGCAATCTAACTATCTCGCTCAGATAACAAAACAGAACACCAAAAAGACTTCGTTTTACAAGCTATAGAGATTGTTTAGAAACATTCATTTCATCGCTGATTTTCAACTGTCTTAGACAGTAGCAGCTTTGCACGTGTTGACCGATAAGTGAATCAATGTTTAGTGGCTGTTTGCTTTTCAACGATGCCAACTACAGTTGAGTATTTTACTTTACTTCACTGTTTGCTTTATTTTAGAGTAGAAATTGCCTCCATTTATTCAGTGAGCAATTGTATATCCTAAATACGAACAATTGAAGCTGAGTGTAGTGAGTAAATGGTTGTTACGATTATGTGTACATATCCATCAGGCTTTGGATATGTAAACTATTAGTTTATGCAAGTCGTGTCGATCAAATGAAGTGTGACGCATAGCCTAATGCATAACAGTTAATATGCTACATATTAGTCCATCACTATCCATTGTTTATACGACTAAGTATAAAATAATAGTGTTTATTTTTCAAATTCCTTTCTACGCAGCTTATACTAAACTTTTCTCCCACTAAAATGATGGAATTACTTATTTCTTTGACTAATTTCACCCTTACCTCTGTTAGCATAACACTTAACAATAATTGTAATCTTTCGTTCTCGCTATCTCAAAACTATATACATTCAAATATCATTTCTTTCGACCACCTAAAGGTTTCACAGTTGTTCAACTCGCCACACTCCAGATATCATACAAAAGCGGACAAAAAGAAAATGCTCAGAAGAACTCCAATGAGAAGAAATGTGCGGGAGAATGAATTGTAACATGGAAAACATGAAGGTTTAATCAATCTATGGGTTCACAAAGACTGAATGTATTTGAGCCATATCTTCAATATTCTCCAGCTATTGGTTCTTATCATCCTGAGGACGCCAACCAAGCAGTCTACAGATAACTGCATAGCCAGCTCAAAACAAAAGTGAAAAAGTTGGTGAATTGACGACAGGTTTTGATTTGACTACTTCTAACCGTTTTTTAACCTAATCCTCGAAGAGAAAGGTGGTGACTCAGAATGCGAAACACATATCCTAGACATATCAATGGATGTAACTTCACAACCTCATCGACTAACTTGTTATTCTTACCAAACACTTTACGCCTAACCTCATTATTACACACCAAATGACACCGCTTAACACAGAAGACACAGCCCAAACGCTTATGATTAAAGATAGCTAATCTATTCAGCTCCTCTGTCTTCAATGGACGTCTCACAGCCATAAAGGAGGACAGGACGGTGTTCTGAGTAGTTCGAAAGGAGTAACTCAATGGAAAGTCGTGTGTCGTGTAGTTGCGCTTTTTGGAATATTAAAAATCCTTATTATGATACACAGTTCTTATAACTGTTACATAATTTTCTCTACGTTTGGCAATTGAAAAATGGAGTGGAACCCGAAAGGGAAGCGGCGAGTGGGACGTCCAAGGGTGACATGGAGGAGATCGTGTGAGGAGGAGATGAAACAGTATGGAATAACATGGACGCAAGTGAAAAGTACAGCACAAGACAGAAGCAAGTGGAGGCGTGCAGTTGAAGCCCTATGTTCCACTAGGAACCCAAGGGAACAATAATAATAATAATGAGAAGTCACAGATCTAAACTTCATATTGATTGGCTTTCGATAGTAAAGCACCATTTTATTGTTGCATTCAAACAGGTCGACTAGTACAAGGCTTTTTCCAATTGCACCTGGTGTGTTGTGCAGGATTGTATAACTAACATCGCATAGCATAGTTTAGCACTCTTTAGTACTGTGGTTACAATCAATGCTTATGTGTCTTACGCCTTCTTAAGAAAAACCTCAAAAACATTGAAAACACGAGCAAAACAAAGAAAACATTTAGAAAATAACATACATGATAACAGTCAAGTAGTCGGAGTTCATTTTGCACAGATTGAAGCGGTAGAACAACATGATAATGTTCAGGTATGCGGAGTTCTGTTAGTGTAATCGTATTCTGTAAAAAGGCTAATTCCCGATGAAAGAGACTGCAAAGAGAAAAAAGAAATGCATAAGGTAATAGTAGTATATAATTTTCACAAAGATATGAAATTAAATTCATATCATACACGCTAGTAACTAATGCATATGAAAATATATTAAAAATAATAATGAACCAACTCGTTTTCAAAAAAGGAAACCAATTTTTTCATATCTTCCAAATTATACTAACTGAATTCTGTAGATCAAATTATGCAACATGATCAAGTTGACTATCTATCTTCCCGACCAACGTTGTATTAACGTGATGACAAAATACCGCAAATGACATCAAATCCTCCATAAATATTGGTACTTCCAAATTCCTATCCCATATTTTTTCTTTCTTCTTTTTTCCTTTTGTTTCAGTGACAGACGTTCATTTCTGACCTTTTATGACTTCATAACTTTTCTTATGGTTTCTATTAACTTAGGTTTACGCAATGCTTTTCGAACTTGCTGTTATACTTACACAATCTTGTTCGAGTTTGACCACGGACAGATATCAGTTAGAGAACCATTGAAAACCAACAGGGAGTACTGGATAACCATTTCATCCTAGTTTAGAAATTATCGGTAGTACGCACCCACCACAGTGGGGTTCGAACCCAGGACCTTCCGGTTGCAAAAACAGCTAGCTCGTATTCCATTCAGCCACTGGAACCCGATTCAATGGCCAGTCTATGAATTCTAACTTCTAACAATTCGTGATTTTAGCGTGACCACCAACCAATGTCATCGCCGGGAAATCCATCCTCACAATTGACTGGTTGGAACTCATTGGCCACAAATTTTCACTGAACTCTAGGGAATTCAATCCTGTAAGCAATCACTAGCGAGCATCAGATTAACTTTCAAGAGTTGGTTTGTAGCGATTAGATTTGTTTTTTTCAAGTTTGACCACAGATTGTTATCAGTGAATTCATTACTGCCTGATAATCGTTCACTAAAAGTACTTTTAAGTAATGTCATTATGTCATTATCATTATTATTGTTATTTGTCACCGTTGAACTTATGTCTAGTCTATCCCATTTGTTGGTTTATTTCTCTGTTGTATTCATATTCTCTCAAGCACCACTGATTACACTCCCCTTTGAAATCTGTACTTTATCTCATGTTCTTATTGACCATTTATTATATTCTAAATGATAGCCAAAACTAACTGGCTATTATTCATTCTAGTACTTGTTCCACAATACGCTTTCTGATATAATTCTAATTTATCCTCACACTGGCTATTGTATGCTAAAATGATTAGATTTACAGATGTAAAGCTTGAAGAATAATTTAGTGAAAATCAATTGTTCGCTCAAATTCAACTACAGGAGAAACTGACGAGGATATCAAAGCAAGGATCGGAAAAGCAAGACAAGCTTTCACTACTCTCAAGTCTGTGTGGAGGTCAACAACACTCAGCATCAAAAATAAGATCCGGATTTTCAACTCCAATGTGAAGTCAGTGCGACTCACTATAGGGATCAGAGACTTGGCACGTCATAAAGAGCATCTCAAACAAACTACAGACCTTCATTAACAGCTGTCTTCGCTCAATACTCAAGATCAGATAGCCGGGCAGAAAAGATCAGTGACAGGGAGGGATCTCTGGGAGCGAACCAACCAGGAACCGATTGTGAAACAAATAGGCAGGAAGAAATGGAGATGGATTGGCTGGCCATACTCTGAGGAAACCATCAAGTGACATCACTAGACAAACCATTGCTCGAGTGGAACCGGAAAGGGAAGCGGCGAGTTGGTCGTCAGTGCAAGAGTGGGTGACTTGGAGGAACTCATGTGAAGAGGAGATGAAAACGTGTGGGCAGACATGGAGCCAGGTGAAGACTCTAGCAGAGAACCGAACGCAATGGAGACGCACGGCTGAAGCCCGATGTTTCTCTAGGAATTAAAGGAAACAATAATAATAATAATAACTACTGTTATTCTGAATAAATTATAGGGATATTCAAATGACTGAATTGCTTCAGTAAGCATTTGGTATAATATTTTACTCAATTTAGCTCAGCAGCAAAAGAAACCATTCCAGGGTATAGGTGATCAAAACTGATAATTGCAACATTTTGGCAATTGAATTAAACAATAATGTTAAAAATGTATAAAAAGTATAAAAAACGATAATAATTAATAACTAAAACAATGAGATAACTGAATTAGTGTCACCATAAATTACAAATAGGAAAAGATAAAAGAGTCATTATTTATTTTGCTAATTACATAGTAAATTATAAGTTTCACGCTTAACACTTTCTCTATCGCATAGAACGCAAGCCAAACAGGGTGTGGTTGAGGCATTTTACTTAAGTGTGAGAGCATATAATCATTGTAGTTCCACCTGATGAGAGGCAGTACGGGAGAATTGTGAATAAAGAGGGTTCTGAGAGTCAGACACTATGGATTTAGCCCATATGTCTGATGAGTTCAGATGTCTGTCGACTACAATAGTAACGGGCTAACTTAGTGGCATACCACCTACCCAACTGACAACCTTTAATACTCTTCGCACTATGACACAGTCCTTTTTGAGTAACCCAGGAAAGACTAAGGTGGAGTAATAGATAACAATAGGTAAAATGCAGCTGACAAACTGTAAAAGTAGAAGCTGAGTGATTGGTGATTGTCCTAACCTTCTATTGTTAAAGGTGAGACGGAACATTACCTTAGAAATCGACAAGATGAGAAGACAGAACTATTCGAAGGTATTTCATGTTGGACTTAGAGGTCGAAATGATCAATCTAACTAATCTGCCTACTTTAAAACGGATAACATGGGAAGGAATTCCATAAGCGAATAACGAAGACAGGGTGACATTGAACAACTTCGAACTCATAATTTCAATAGATAAACAGCTGAAGTGATTATTGAATCAGCGTATATCAAATTTATTCAGTTTGCCTCTTATGACTACAGATAATGCTTATTTAGTAGCTTATTTTGGCTGATAGTGACTAGCTGTGTAGTCCTAGATGCGTATTTTGCCTCATTTAGGACACATCATCCGGATTTACCAGTGAGTGATGGTGTTTCTACTAGGATGTGAACCCTGCATTCATCGTTTCATCCCAAAGATCCAGCTGTTGTACAACGGGTGTCAGTTGCTATTCGTATTTAGGTTAATTTGTATTTCCTGTTGAATGAATATATTAGACCAGAATGCTTGGTTTACGTTAGTTTGTCTACACTAGTGTGACGTGTGCTCCCGACAAGATTTATCAGCACTATATAGACGTAGATTGACAGGAAGAACCCAAAAGTGGGCCAAGTTAAACTTTAAGCACCACTAACTACCAATGGAGTGCGACCGCAGCAATGACCTTGGGGAGCTCACTGAGCAAGTTAGTGAAACCTGGCAGGTAATGTTGTCATCATCAATTGAACACGCTCATCAAAAAGTTAGGTTATTAAATGTGATATACTGGGAAGTTTCAGCTTAGGTTTGGGTCAAGGACAAGTTAGGGTTAAGTTAACCTATTAAAGGTGATATTAGGGTTAATTTTGGCATATTTTCACGTAAGGGCTAGCTTTAGGAAAGATTACGGTTGTTGTTAGGGTTACAAGACCTAAATAATTACATACACCGAATGTGGTTAAATTACTCTGTTGGTATAAGAATAGAACTTCTGCACTGTGGTTGAGTACAATTCCATTGTGGATAAAATTTATTCTGATAAAATCTCAGTGTTATACAGTAATATTTACTGATGACATTCCAAGCACAGTTTATTGCCCAGTAAATATTGCTGCATAACACCGTGAAACTTTATCAAAATAAATTTTGCCCACAATAGAATTATACTCTGTTGGTACTCCAATCTAAAATTGAGAGCTATTTTTATAAAATGTGAGAGAAACGTATCCTCTGTAACACTTTAAACAGATTTTATGCTTTTTTTTCGTAAATATATGTATTCCATACGTAAAAATGCCTCCTTCACGTGATTGGTGCATTCGAGGTCACTCGCTGATTGGTAGTTAGTGGTGCTTAAGGTTTAACTTTGCACAAAAGTGAAAACAAAATTTTAAGTTAATGGCTACAGAGGTAGACGCGTGTATTTCTCAAATCTGGATTTAGCTTACGTTGTGGTCAGGAAGTGATCTCAATGTTTAACCTTTGTAAAATCAGTAACCTATCAGAACAGTTTATTATCCGTTCATCTAGCCAACCATAAATGTGGCTAAAAATGTATAGATATGGTGTGGTTTTCCTTCATAAAAAAATTCCGTTACCAAGTCTTTTGTCTTCTCCCGTTACATTAGGTGACTACATATCAATACAAAGTGATTATTTCCGTCCATCATAATCAGTTAGGTGGAAATGCAAATTAACCTAAAAGCCTGTTACCCAACGAATATGAGGAGGCGAATAGATTGAATATACGCCGAAAAGACCACTGAGTGACATTACGCGTCGAGCCCAACAGTGGAAGCCGAATGGAGAACCACGAGTAGCACGCTAGACTAAGGTTGACATGGGGAAGATCGTTCCAGACGGAGATGAAACCATATGGGCAGTCTTGGAGCCAGCCAAAGAGGACTACAGAGGACAGGATGAAATGCAGAGGCTCTGCTAGGAACCCAACGGAAAAACAGTAAAATACAACAATATTACACCTGTTATCATTATTATCTTCAAAACAAAATTAAAACGGAGAGTTTAAAAAAGAGGTAAGCTTACTCATCACGTTCTTCTTCAACAGTAGAATCGTTCATCCATATTACATAAGAGTATATCTCATCCATGACAAGTCTTTCCAAGTGTATAAATATATTCTCAACACTATGACTATTATTATGATTATTATTATCATGATTCCTTGGATTACTGCACCAAATATTATTTGACAGCATAAATCCATCATATTGATTTAGTAATGATGTTGCCGATGAAATAATACCATTACTATTAGTAATAATATTATTATTGAAAGATGATTCACGCCATTTCATTTTCATTTTATCCAATAATTGTATAACAAGTTTACGTACCATTTCAACACGGGCTTTTGGATCACAATAGGATGTTTCACTTGTAAATTCTTGATGAAATTCTGTGAATAAGTCTTTGTGTTGATTGATTAGTTCAGATAAATTCCGGCAGAGAATATATTCTTCTTGAAGACGTATACCTTGTTGCAACCTTGAATTTTTTTTTTGTAAAATTGGAAAAACAAGACAAAAATCATTGAAAATACACGAATAAATGAAATAGGACTGGTTTATACACTTATTTCACCGTAATGAATTTGAATAAAGCAAGAACAGCAGTTTGTGTAGAGTAATATGGTACCATAGTTTATTTCCTTTGCTGTGTACAGCCTAAATAGATTATTGAGTTTATGTACAGAACAATTTTACCATACTTGTAAATGTTGCATAATATCAGTCGACAGGAGGCTCCAAACGTAATAAATAGTGCTCAGAACAATATAGTTTTACAGCATAATATAAATCACAACGAATGGATACATCTACGCCAGCCATATCACCAATTGTCTCCAGCCACTGGGACGGTAAAAACCAATAGCTGCAGACAATTGGTGATATGGCTGGTGTAGATGTATCCACTTGTTGTGATTTATATTATGCAATAAAACCATATTGTTCTTCCATATTACTATTCTTTTTGTCTCATATGTGTTTATGATCTCTGTTTGGAATCTTTCTCTACTCTCTTCTTTTGCTTTGTGTGGTGCGTGGAGTGTGGCAACAGTTCTGTTCAGATAATCACCTCTTCCCAGTGAGCACTAACTTTAGGCACAAAGACAGACACTGCGTAACCTGGCAACCTCAATCACCAAATCAACTCTGGACTCAGATAGACCACATAAAGATAAGGTATTGTTGATGAGGGTCAGTAAAGGACTGCAGCTCCTTCGTGAACATATGAGTAGACTCCAATTATGCCCTGGTTCGCGCATATTTGTGTTTACAACTAAACGGACATTGAAAATTGTCGGTAGCGAAGCAGTTACGTCTCCAACTAGATCGAGAATCTGAGTCCCTATTTAAGAAGAAAATAGCAAAATCGAGTAACAATGTGATGAGTTCAAGTCGAATCACAGAAACAACAGACAGACAAAGTTACACTATGTCAGACGTGTGAGAGGCTAAAGTCAAAGATTAAGTAATTAGACGAAAGAGACAGTAAAGACATCCAGTTGCCAGGGCAGTGGAAAGACTAGATCGGGTTTCAGGAGTCTGTTAGCGATCGCCTTGGCAAATTTGATGACAACTGAAATATTCGTGATGTCCACCTCATGAACCATACTGATAGGATGTCTATTAATAGCACTATTGTAAGCGTCTGTACCCTCGAGATGTAAGCTATTTGGTACGTGTTCACAAAATCGAAGGTGTGCTCTTCTCCTGTCTCTCCTCCCTATGTAACTACTAAATTGGATAAAATAATGACAGAAGAACTTTCCCACTAATGTCTTGCTTATCGAGTCTGTAAATAACAGTTTGAAAGTGATTCAATAAATATTTTAAGAGTATAACTAAGGCTGATGCAACTACCACCCTTGGACTACTTGTAACCACTGGTAAAAGTTATGTGATTCAATCGATCAATCAATAACAATACAAAGAAAATACACATTTTTATAACTAGACGTGATATACCCAACTGACTGCCTAACTGAGTTTCAACATAGAACTTTGCATAAAAGTTAAGGAAAAGCAAACAAAATCAAAATATTTATAATGAGCAGAAACGTACAGAAGACAGCAAGCGGATTTATTACATATGTGCCACTGAGAACGCTTTTCATCAAAAGTCGCAAGCTATTAGTTCTTAACATCTTGAGATCTCCAACCAGGCAGTCTACATCTCCTTACGTGACTGACACAGACCAAAAGTCAGAAACATGATGGATTGATAACATATTTTAATCTCAACACTTCTAACTCCCTTCCAATCTATTGTCAGCTAGCATTTCTCGACGACGAAGGCAGTGGATAAGAATGAGTTGTAAATACCCTGCCTATTTTAGTCAATGTAACTTCAGAACCTCATCGTTTGAACTGCCTTCCTTACCTGGCAATCTACATTCAAGCTTAATTTTTATTTTTTTAAATTTTATTTAAACACAAAAAAACTTGGTACAATATGGCACCAAGAAGATGCGCCACATAACAACATAGATCAAAAGTCAAAATATAAGTGAAGAACAGATAAAGAACTTCATCTGGAAGGAAAACAGTCATACTCAACAAGTTCAAACAGCATTCGTCAACTATCGTCGGGAAGAGAAGAAAGAAGGAAATTGCAGCACGTTCGCCATTGATTACGATTCTTGACCATATCCGATAACGTTTCGAGCCACCGATTCAACCAATCTCTCGGATTCCAACCAGGGAGTCATGACGCACCAACTGATGCTAACCAAGCGCAAATATCCTTGATCCCACAACACCACGTCATGAGCTGTCCGCCTCACAGCCTTTTCCACTCCGTCCCAGGGCTAGAATACAGAGACCTGTAGGGAAGCCGCTGGTATGACATTCGCAGCATATGTCCAAGCCAACGAAGCAAGTGTTTCCAGTGAATGATGATCTCCACTGTGTCCAAAAACACGCCACCGAACCTCAGAATTACTCACGCAACGATGCCACCGACCGCAAACAATCCTGCGGAGACAGCGACGATCGAATACGCAGAGCCGCCGCACATTCGCAGCTCGGAGAAGCCAGGTTTCACAGACGTAGAGCAAGACAGTACACACTGAAGCATTGTATACCCGAACTTTGACAGCCAGATTTAAGTCGCGACGGAACCAGAGGTACAATCAAGTTAACGTATACCATCCTAGCTTTCATGATACGGTAGGGAATCTCATCCGTCACCCCTCCGCCAGCACTGACACAACTAACGAGATACACAAACTTATCGACAACTTCATGCGATTCACCTGCAAAAGTGAGTGCAGGCACAGGCTCCTGCCAATCTTGTAACAATACTATCCAATTAGACGGCACAAAGCACATACCCTACTTACAGACCTGAATAGTATTCACCAGTGGTACACTCAATATATATATATATATATATATATATATATATATATATATATATCGAAATTTGATGTATGATACAGGGTTAGATTGAAATGTGTCCCTCCGATCCGATATTTAGGTATTAGAGGCAAATTACGTTAATTTAGTTAAATATTTAAAGATCATTCAAGTTCACTCTTCAAATAAACTGTGGCTATTCTCCATTGATTTCTATAGAAGAAATATTGACTTCTATGAGCGAAGACACATGTGTGAAATAAATGTATTTTTGAATATATATTAAACCTTCTGTAACAAATTATAAAACGTCAAACGTATGTTTATTAACTAACTGAAGGATGAGTAATCTCCAGTGTATACCATTATAGAGTCGAATATATATCTGAAAATTAACCTGAACAATAACAAAAGATGTTAATTTTAAAGGAAGATACAAGTCCTAGTGTTACAAGTTTTCATTCGCAAAACACAGAAGAAAGATACGAGAAAGAAATATTGCGAAAACCTCGATTAAGACATTTATTTATCAAAGACAAAAACGTTGAGCAAAGACTCTGCTTTTTTCGATAACCTCCTCATCTGGCTACAGTACAATTATCAATTGTATGTGTTCAAAAAGAAGTTCGTACAATCACTTTCCCTACTTCAGTCAGGGCCATCATTACTTGATTGTAAAAATTTGACAGACAATTTCCCCTTCCCTCTAGGCATTATACAAGATATTATTATTATTGTTTTAATTATCTGTAATTGTGGCATAAATTTTCTTCTTAATTTTATCTGCTATTCAATTTAGCATTATACACTTTGCATGTATATGTAGGTATCACTCAAGCGAGTTTCTGAAGCGTAATTCTTTCGATTGTGAAAACTAGGCATTAGTTTTTTTTTAACAAATATCAATGCTGTCAATAACAAATAGCCCTGAATATTGTGTACACACATAACTGTTTGTTCCAGATGAGAAAATTATCGAAAGAAACGTTCTCTACTTAATTTTTGTTGTCTTATGAGAAAGAAAGAAAGACAAACAAAATATTGTAAACAATACAGTCGATTTTAATGAAGAAGAAAAATTGTAAAAACAAAAACAAGAGGCTCTTTATGGTGAATTCCTTTCCTACAGCTCTATAAATTCGCATTTATAGAGGACTTTCACAAAAAAGTATGATGACAGAAGTATTGACTTGACATAATCATCTGATTGTTTCCATGTCAGAATTACGTCCAAGTCAGACTGTTCAAAAATGAATACCTTTTGATCAGAAATTGGTCAGTAGCCCCTTGTCGAATGGTCGTTAGCCAACTAAATGTCAGAATTTTGTTATTTCACTTTCAGACATAAAAGTGATTTTCATGAAATGGTTCTTGTACTGGGGTTGAAAAACTAAGTCGAATGTTAAGTACCTCGGATTATATCATTCGCCTGATGTTCCCGCATTGTGTGAACTTCTAGAAAGATATGTCGTTTAACCTTCTATGTAGGGCAGTTAAAACAATCTGGTATCACTCAATCTCAGCTTTTACAGTTTACTAACGCCTTAATCTTTCTTGGGTCACTTCTTCTTACATGAATTGCCTCATCCTAATGGAGACAATTCTGTTGAGTATGACGATCGTTTAACTGTTTCCATGCCTGTTACTTCCAAATCAGGATGTTGCTAGTCGCACAAATCACCATCAAAGACAGAGATTTGACAGAGGTTACTCCCTTCACTTATCTAGGAAGCACAGTTTCAATCACAAGTAGTCGGAACGGATGAAGATGTCAAAGCCAGTTAGCCAGAATCTGAAAGCCAGGATACGCCTTCACCAACCTAAAACCAGTTTGGAAATCTTCTGCAGTCACTCAGTCAGCAAAAGGAACAAGATTCGGAATCGGTGCTTCTATACGGGTCAGAAACTTGACCAGCGTGTCACGAAAAAGATTTCCAACAGGTTGCGGACTTTTGTCAACAGCTACCTTCTCTGGCTTCATACTGAAGATTTAACAGCCGATCAGAAAGAATCAGCAACGAGAAACTCTGGCAACAAATCAATCAAGAGCCGATCACTCAACAAATATATAGGAGAAAATGGAGATGGATCGGGCATACACTGAAGAGGCCGTAGAACGACGTCGCGCGCAATGTAGGCCATTGCTCAAGTGGAATCCGAATGGGAAGTGGCGAGTAGGTCTTTCAAGGGTCACATAGAAGAGAGAGTGCTAGGAGGAGATAAGAGATTATGTTCGGTCGTAGAGCTAGACAGCTGAAGAGGGTAGCAGAAAATAGAAGAAAATGGAGATGTGTTGTTGAAGTTCTAAGTTCTACTCGGAACCCAAGCGAATAATAATATAATAATCATAATGGTCTCTAGAATGATATTTCGCCTAGTCTTCTACGTAAGGAGGTTAAAACAGTTTGGTAATTACCTAGTCTCTACTTTTACTGTTTGTTAATTCTTGCACTCTACCTATCCTTCTTTATGGCCCTCTCTTAATCCCTCCTGGGATACTTGAGAAAGATTTTTTTACCTGTCGAAGGACACCTAAAGCTATCGGTAGGGCGAGTGCGGTATCGGCAAAGCGACTCGTTATTACTGTTGTGGACAGACACTTGAACCCATGTGAAAAAATCTGTGAATATCATCTTGTCACACACTGAGCACCCTGGTCAAAAATAGTTTACCCCTTGCCTCTCATCAGATAGGACTAGAAGGAAATGAAAAAAAGCTTTATCGTCGGACGACTTAAGTATAAAAACTCAACAATACCTCATTTGGTAAGCATTTTGTATGATGAGAAAAGTTTTAGATATGAGACTACTAACTGCGAAAAAACAAGTAAACAGCCCTATATTTATTCTTTCTCTCATCTATTTCCGCCTAATTTTATTTTACATTCATATTTTAGTGACATCGACGCACATACCCTGTTAGTCATTTCTCTCCTTGCTATGTAAATGCAAAGAGAAAATCAGATACAATATTGGTCAAAGTAAACTATCGTAGCCAAAACCACGGTGACCTTGAACAACCAATCAGAATTCAGATGCAAAGAAATCGCTTATTCGTTGAAAAATACACTAGAAAACACTGCAAATGTGATATTATTCTAATACAGTTGTCGCTTATGTATTGTAAAGATGTCGCCCAGTCAATACACAAGTGATCTATAGAGAAATTTTACCATCCGGAATATGCCCATTCATCCAGGTGACTGCATTTCATGGTACTTTGGGATCCATTGATATTTCTGGCACTATTCCCCAACCTATTCCTAACTCTAACTACAATCCTATCCCTTAATCCTAACCTTAACCCTAAACCTTATTCCTATAGGCCATAACCCTACCTAACAGTATAGATTTGCAGAAAAATCGCCTATCAAATAGGTAGAATACTGTAACTATCCTCTCCAAGTCCAAGGTCACTTTATTCACTTATCTAGGCAGCATTGTCTCAACTGCCGGAGGAAGGGACGAGGATGTCACATCGAGAATCGGAAAGGCGAGAAACACATTCATCAACCTGAAACCAATCTGGAAATCTTCGTTACTCAGCATCAACAACAAAATTCGGGTTTTCAATACAAACGTCAAGTCAGTCAGTTCTTCTATATGGATCAGAAACTTGGCGGGTCACAAAGAATATTTCCAACAGCCTGTTGCACACCTTTATCAACAACTGTCTTCGTTCTATACCGAAGATCAGATAGCCGGAAAGAATCACCAACAAGAAACTATGGGAACAAACAAAACAAGAACCAATCGCCGCCCAACAAATATGCAGGAGAAAGTGGAGATGGATTGGACACTCACTGAGAAGGCCACTGGGTGACATCGCGCGTCAGGCCAGTGCTCGAGTGGAACCCGAAAGGGAAGCGACGAGTGCGACATCCAAGGGTGACATGGAGGGGATCGTGTGAAGAGGAGCTGAAACAATATGGACTAACATGGATGCAGGTGAAAAGTACAGCAGTAGACAGAAACAAGTGGAGACGTACAGTTGAAGCACTATGTTCCACTAGGAACCCAAGGGAACAGTAATAATAATAATATACACGAACTTCAGCCACGTAATTACTGTAAACGGCTCATTTGACACAACAATTAATGATTATAAAATTTGATGCATACTTTAATTCGGCAAGTATGAGTGTTTTCCCGACTTAATTCTCCTCAATTACAGTAAACATATCATCATCCCGTTATTATTAAATATTGTTAAGTGGTTTCTGAACATAGTAGATTCCTTATTACAGTTTCACTACTAAATAAGATGGTCGTATAAGAATTTGTCTCTTTACAAAGAATTAGAGCTTAGAGAACATCATAACATTTCTTATTTTACTTTTGAAGTACAAATCCTTTCCTATAATTATGGAGTATTACAGAGTTATTCGAGTAAATGTCAATTTGTAGAGATTTGACTGGTTTGAAGTTTATTCACGGAGTGACACATCCAAAGGAAACTGTGGTGAAATCTCACCTTGAACTGTGGAAACTGAGAATCAATTTGCAAATGGCGAACTTGATTTATGGTATTACTAGTCCGTCCGCTCAGCCCCCCCCCTTCACCCCAGTAGCCAATCAGAAATCGGGTGGTTTAAACAGATTTGGCTCTCTGAGCTAAATCAAACCGAGTATATCACTGACAGGCTTTGCTCAAAGTGAGCAAAAAGGCCGTCCAGAGGTAAGGGAACTCCGATCTGGCTGATATGAACAACATACAACAACATATTCATCTGTATCAATCAGCAGTATACACTTTTGTGCATTTATGCCTAGTCTCTTGATAACCGTTTATGGAATCGACGAGATCAGATATTTTGATCCAGATAGTTTCGGTTTCTAAATGAAATTGTGGTAAAATAATTATCTCAAACTGTGTAAATTGCAAATTAATTTGAAAAATGCCAAATTCCCTTTCGGATTGATATCAGTTACAGAACTGTTAAACTTCAAACCAATCAAATCCCTACAAACTAATATTTGTAAATTAATCCGATGCTCACCAGAAACTGACTGTAGAACTGAAGTTTTATTAGGAGACCCTGATCAGCGGGTTCAATCAGGTTGGGCACGAGGACGAATACTCGCCGACGACGTTGGCTGATGTTAGCACTAAAATTGCGGACTGATAAGAGTTAGATATCATAGGCCATTGGATTCCATCCCAGTGGCTGAATGCTCTGCAAGTTCGCTTCCTGGATTCAATTCCCAGATTACTGCTGAGGAGTCCCGAACCAGGACAAATACTCAGTACTCTCTAGTTTCCAATCGATTCTCCAACTCACATGTATACGTGATTAATATGGATAAACATAAACATGGATAAACACATTAGAAGTACACTTACCAATTTACTGAGAGCTCTAAATTCGATTTAAGTTGATTCAATCGCTCACGACTTTTAATCAAATGAGCTCTATATACTTGACGTTGTCTAAGATATTGACGAAGACTAGATATTAAGCATTGAATAAGAGAACAAGATGTTGTTTGATCATTAGCTGTTGTGAATTGCCAATCATTTCGATCTTCACGATTGTTGAATTCATTCTCCGATGAATAACCATTAACTACTACTCCCGCCGAGACTGCATTACTTTTTACAACATTCGAATGTAATGAGTTATGATCAGAATTCTTATGAATGTCTAATCGATTGCTTAATTCCAGTATAATATTTCTTGTTTCTATGAGGACATCAACTACTGTTGAATTTTGCTGAAGATTAAAAATAGAGAGAGATCAATCGAAAAATGTGAATTATTAATTTGAAGTATTATAATAATAACAACAGTAACACACATGACAAATGGTTTCAGGAATAGTTTTAGTGAATATCCACTGCTAAGATGCCTTACATTAATAGAAAATAGACCAGTCTGTTTCACGTGTGGTAATGATTAAAAGTGAAACTGACAGCACACTTTTTTCCCTATTTGGTTCTCATAAGCTACATATTACCTGTTATCGGTCTTCAGTGACACTCGCCATCCTAAATACCAGGGTGTAAGTCACTCATAGACAATATTATAATAATTTGTGATATCTATTGGAAATGTTTTCCCTATGTAGAGTCCTAATGAATATCCTTCATACAATAATTTCCTGGAGTTCCAGTGGGAAGTCGTGACCAGTGAGGTCAAACCAGTCAAGTGTGAGGATGGATTTCCCGGCGATGACATTGGTTGGGGTCACGCTAAATCACGAATTGATAGGAATTAGAATTCATTTGCTGGTCATTGAATCGGGTCCCAGTAGCTGAATGGTATACGATCCAGCTTGCATTGTAACCGGAAGGTCCTGGGTTCCAACCCTGTCGGTAGGTGCGTACTGCCGATGATTCCCAAAGTAGGATAGAACAGCTGTCCAGTACTCGTTGCTGGTTATCAATGGTTCTCTAACTGATATCAATCAGTGATCAAGTTATAAAAACAAATCTAATCCTCACAAACCAACTCGTGAAAATTATATTTGTGCTGTGTGTGTATTGATTCGTTACACTACCAATGTTCAGTGAACTTCTACCATGAATAGATTTCTTTCGATTCTTATTTAAGTACTTCAGTCTGACTTTTTATATTATTTCTATGATCTGATTTTGGGCTTCAATCGATCAACAAATTTCCCTACTTGGAGTGAAATCACTTCATAGTGAAAAAAAGGTGTTTTGAGCGAATTTCCGTTGAATTCCATTATTTGATATTATTTCCCACTGAAATGTATGTGGTTATAATGAAAAAGTGGAGATTATTTTTTTTTTTATTTTTGATTTACAGCTTGATTCCACACCGTATTTTAAGTACAAGTATGGAATTTTCAGCATGGATATCGGTAGCCCAAATTCAGGCCGACCATAGATATCGGGTGTGCGCCGGCAGGGGATCGAACCCCGGACCATGTGCATGGTCGGCGAGAGTCCTAACCACTGTGCCACGGGTTTACGTTCAGGAGGGCATCGAATGACATCGCGCACAAAACAGGTCATCGCCTGAGTCGAATCCCAATGGGAAGCGAAAAGTGAGCCATCAGTGCGAGGCTCGAATGGAGTAGATCGTGTGATCGGCAGGACATGAGAGATTATGGGCAATCATGAACTCAGATGAAGAGGATGGCAGAAAATAGAACATACTGGAGATGTGTTGTTCAAGCCCTAATGTTCCACTCGGGTCCCAAGGGGATAATAATATAACGAGAGTTACGTTTTATACTGAAAACAAAGTACTACGTTCTTCAATTCAAATCATTAAATTCCTTTCCATTGGATAATTTCTTCGCCAATTCTATCTATCTAATTTTTCGTATGCCATGATTATTATTCCATTATTATTCCCTTGGATTCCTAGTGAAACAGAGGACTTCAGCAACATATCTCCATTTTTCCCTATTATTCCTTGAAGTCAATTTTAGCTATCTCCATGATTGCCCACAGGTTTTCACTTCCTCATAACAGCATCTCTCCTAAATGGTACACTCTTGGTTGTTCAACTCGTCGTTCCTCATCCGGAGTTCCACTAAAAAGGGCTGGACTAGCGAGTGATGCCATTCGATAATCTCATCAGTGTATATATCCAATCATTTGGCGAATTGATTAGCCCACAAGTTTTTGATTGCTTAACCTTTTCCGGCCGGCTATCTGATCTTCACTATGGAGGGAAGATAGCTTTTGATGAAAGTTTGCGTTAGTTCGATGGAAATGCTGCCATAAATATTTGTTACAAGTATCCATTTCCTCTTTTTCTTCTTCGAACATATCCACTGATTTTTAGACACTTTTCATCTCTCTGCCAGATATATCATTTATATGAACTCATAGAAATGTTACTCATTGTGTTGATTCTGCTTTTAGAACACAATTTAAATTTTTATAATCAACTACGTTAGGTAATAAATAAGCCACAATAATTGTGCAAAGAATATTGATAAAAAAATTGATTAACTAAAAACGCCTTAAGTGAAGTGTGGTTTAAGCTTGCGAACTAATGCTACAAAAATATATAATTGAGTACTCAGACCAACAAAAGACAACTTTAAATTTCTAAACCAAACATCACTATCAGTTTACCACATCTTTTAAGCGTATGAATACTCGGTCTTTTGATACAGCGGTCTGTTTAGATCACTGGGCTACCTAAATTTACTATCCATTTCAGAATATTTTAATCTTCTAATTACTACAATGAGTCGCAATCTATACCGGCGCACAATTTCAAACAACTTTTTGCATATTGCTAGGAATTTTTCGAAAGAAATCGAGGTAGAACACTGTGGAGTACATTGAAGCTTCAGACTATGTATTATCGATTATTATATTATTTGAAGATTCATGCATTTATTCCCTTTGATGAATTTGAATAAAGCAAGAACAACAGTGGTTTGTGCAGAATAATATGGTACCATCATTGCTTATTTCGTTGGCTTCTCATCAGCCTAAATAAATTATGAGGATCACGTACAGGCAGTTCAAGTTTAAACAAAATAAATGTATGCATACAATGGTAAAGGAGTTGCGTAATAAAGACGAGATATGCGCTAGATGCAGAGTGACTAATAAATTAGGTAACAATGTACTGAGTTCAACTCAAATCATAGAAACAAGAGACAAGCAAAATTACAGATTATAAAAGGAGGTGAGGTTAAAGACAAAGATTACGTAATCAGATGAGAGAATAAAGACATCCAGATACCAGGGTGGCAAGGAAAGACTAATAACTGCTTCTTTCTGAACACATAAATCTGGTTTCAAGCGTTTGATAGAAATTCCTTCGGCAAACTTGAGGAGAATGGAGCTCCTTTGTCTATTGATAATTTTAAAGGATTTCACGATTTCCACCTCATGACCCGTATTGAGCCTACATCTCAAGGGAACAAACTCTTATAGTAGCGCTATTACCAGACATCTCCTCGAAATAAATGATGGTACCATATCATTCTGCACAAACCATTGTTGTTCTTGCTTTATTCATATCTGAAGATTCTACACCAATGGGTAAATACCCTGTGTAATGGAACTCGCTGAAAACTCTGTATTATGTATAAACGCATTTTTCTAGAATAAAGCTATTATTATAAAGCGTGGTTCAGTGGTAGAACACTCGCCAACCCCATGAGACGTTAAGGCTCAATTACCCACCGATAACACTCGTAAACATCGCACCTAGGTGGTAGTAAGCCCAGAGAAGGGCAGAGTTTGATCATGAGGCTATCAACCTCACCAGGTAAAAGAACAACACCACTACCACCAATGACTACTTCAAAGATTAAGACTTGAAGCCCTGCCTATATTCTACTGCGAACCCAGAGGAATGAAAGACAAAAAAATATATATACCTATATGAATACACAAATAACACAAATTACATGAATAAGCGAAAAATTCAATTAACTAACCTGAGTAACATACAATCCAGCCAGTATAGAATTAAGTAAAGAAATTAAAATTTGATTTTCATGAAATATACCCGTCATATTAACTTCTTGAGATAATGGTTGTTCACGGATTAAATTCCATGTGAACTTTATTTTCCGAATAGTATTCAAAGCAATAATACTTAAAGCTGAATTAGAAAAGATTTCTTGTAATCCATGTAGAGCTAAATTGAATAACTGAGGAATTGATCTATGGGTATGTACACCGGTAGAAGAGGAGAAAGATGCACAAGATGATGACGATGACGATGAAGAAGAAGCCGACGAGTTCGAAGAGGGTGAAGACGATGGTGCAGATGATAGCAAAGCCTTAGAGGGGATATTTTTATTCCTTATATCTTCAGTATCTTCAATTTTATGCTTATTCTTCTTAGGCAAACGGGATTTCGATGTACTTGGAATAGAATTATAGTATTCATTGTAAGTAGGATTAGATATTGAATTTGATGTTGTATTGATATTGAATGTTTGTCGACGATACCGTTCCATCATTTCATCGACAGTTTCTTCTGATTATTTTCGAAAAAGAGAATAAAAAGATTTTTAAAAAGTTAAGAATTCAATTAAACCGTGCTATTTTGCTACTATTTATGAAATGAGAAACGTTTGTACCCCGCACTTGTACATCGCTGGTTAGAAAGAATGTTCCAGTTTAGCCTACAGTACCAAGATGGTAAACTAGATTGGAGTAAGACTAAAAGCTGACAGCAATATATGGGGTGAGTTGTGCCATTTATAGTGGAGTTCTCAGGGCGAAATCCTACTGTGGATTGAGATTTAACAGCAGTAATATATATTTCACTTTGAGAATTAACCAATTAACTAGGCTAGTTTTCCAAACTAGGGAAGAAGATTACAGGATTTTCATCATGAGCTGACATTAGTTAGGGAACCATTGGAAAACCTGGGAGTACTAGACAACTGTTTCGTCAGCCTAGTTTGGGACTCTTCATCAGTACGTACCCATCGGGATTCGAACCCAGGACCTTCTGGTTACAAGGCGAGCTCGTATACCATTAAGCCACTGGGACCCGATCCAATGGCCAGCCCGTGAATTCTAACTTCTGCCAATTCACGACATAGCGCGACCCCTAGCCAATGTCTTCGGTGAGTATTTGTCCTCACACCCGACCTGCTGCACCCTACTGGTCACGACTTCTCACTAGAACGCCAGGTAACTACCTACCTGAATAGGGTCGCTAGTGAGCATCTCTTGATATCCAAGTGTTGGTTTGTAGGGATTTGATTGGTTACAGGATTTTCATCATGAGCCAAAGTTCTGGTTGTCGATTTTCTGTAGGGATGAAACTTAATAAACTTGAGTTCCGAAAGAGTCATATGTGCCCAGCCTTAAGAAGATATTCCGCGGCTTTATGGTCAACCGACGCAAATGATTTTCCTCTTTCAATGTGAGCTATAGGAAGTTAGCAACCAGCCATAGACAGCCATAGAGAAGCACGCAATATTCCTTCACTGATAATACGCATATTTCTAATTTACCGATGGTATCAAACAGGAATCAACAATATCATCAATCTTATTCAATTTCATTACGAGGATACCAATGGATAAGAATCGACTCCAATGCTTCAAGAGGATCAACTTGTTACCACCAAGAGTCTTGTTGATGATCTACAGTAACCATACGATGTAGTCTTTTCAATACCATGAGGTATATGATTCTTCTTGTCAAAAGCAAGATGATGATAGCAGAGTTGGTTTATCCATCCCACCCAACTCATCGTTTCCAAAGCCAATGAATTTATCATATCACTAGTTTCAAAAGAAGATTCACTACTGATGAAACCATAACGCCGATACAAAAGGCTCTTTTTGCTTTTACCCGCTTGCATCATCTTTGGTGCATACCGGATATCTACCTATTGAACAAAGAGACTGTGCACTGTGCCGAAGATCTCTCCGTTCAACCTTGCCGTCTCTAAAGATGGAAGACCTGAAGAGATGAGATTTCGAAGCATGAAGTCTTTGTTCTCTGGCTCGTGTTAAATAGCAGAACATGATATACTATAATAGAGCCAGGTCAGACGACATATATACGCTATCGGCCATCTTCCACCTTCTAAAATATTTCACTAACTGCCATCTAATTATTCTGTCTATCACACACTTTTCGTTCAGTTAAAGTTTCATTACGCATTACGTTCCTTTATTTCGCGGGTGGTACCTTGAAGTGAACACTTTTCGTGCAAAGTTATAAGTTGTTACGCTATTCCGTTTCTTGAAGATTGTGCAAATTCCTACATCATGGATGTTGATATGGACAGCAAAACAACTACAACTATTTGCTGAATCTCGTTAAAACAACATATCACTAACTTGTAGTTTACGGCATAAAAATAGTTCAAAGATAATTTGTAGCTGGGTAGAAATCAGGTGTTCAAAATTTTATTGGATTTGTGGAGATTTTCGATTAATTTCACTTTTGTCACGAACTAACATCAGTTACAGAGATAACCGAAAGCCAAGGAGCACTGGACAGCTGTTTCGTGCTATTTTAGGACTCCTCCTCAACAGTGCGCACTCACGACTTCGCCAGGGATCATGGACCCCGGGACCCTTATCTTACGACACCAAACTCGCTGACTATTCAGCCATTTGGGCTTGAATTCAGTTACCCGTGAATTTTTATTCTGTCATTTTATTCTGTGATACAACGCTGCCCTTACCAATGCCTCCAATAATCGTTCACTTCACCTTGATTAGGTGGACTCCATTGGTCACGACTTCCCACTGAGCTGTATTCAGTGAGCTGGCAATTGTTATTCAGATTATAGGATTTTCGGGATGAAGTCGATGCTCGTTGAAGACATCGGTGAGGGTAGCGCTGTATCACGAGTTTACAAAATCAGAATCCACGGGTCACTGAATCCCAGCGACTGAACGGTCCCGAGGGGCCTCGGTCACCTAACCTGAAGTTCCTAGGTCCGATTCCTAGCGGGATCGCGGGTGCGTACTGATGATGAAGAGCCCTAAAAAGGAATGAAACAGCTTTTCAGCTCTCCCTGGTTTTCATTGATATTTCTAACTTATTTTGGTTTGTGACGAAAATGTTACTGTTGAAAGAAGAGTAAGGTGGTCTGAACAGATTCGGCTTTCTGAGCTGAGTCAAACCCTGTACACCGATGATGAGCTCGACCTGAAACGAGTAAAACGGCTACCCGGTGTGTTTAGATCGCTTTGATTTGGCTAGTTGGTTGACAGATGTAAGTGGTATGCAACTAACTACTCATCTCAATATATCAGTAGTACTATATAGTGTGATGATTTGTAAGCTTTACATTTCCAATGTCATCTTCTATTCCTTCTTAGAATATGATAACCGTGATTATAATTCACATATTTCCACAAACAAGATACTTCATTATGACAGTGTCAGTTTAGACATTTTAGTTAAGAAAAGAAAAAACCACACAAAAAACAGAAAGTAGGTTTTTTTTTTAAAAAAAAAGTAAATTTCATCACGTCATAAAGTATTACCTACCTTTCTTAATAATGTTGTCGTCTGATGGCTGAGATGAATTATTTGCCCCAGTAGTACCTTGTTTATTGGTTGTATTCGACACTGTTTTACAATTTCTTAACAAAGCAGGAGAGGACATAATTACAGACGACTGATTCTGTCCATATATTCCTGAGGCCATAGTAACTGATTCCATTAAATCTGGAAGTAGTGTATACTTAAAAGAGAGAAAATTGTAGAAAACAATACCATTGAAGAAAATACAGCAAACCCTAAAAAGTATGTTTAACAAAAATGCAAATCTAAAAAAAGGATTGGCAAAAAAGTCTATAAAACATTTTCTTACACCAAGATTTTTCCTTCACGTTCCCCAGTGGAACACAGGGCTTCAAGCTAGTGGCCTGAAGTTTCTCTAGCAGTGTTTATTTTACAGGATGGGTTTGCTAGTCTCATGCCCAACCTTTCCTCTTTACCAGCATTATTTCTGGCTTAGCGAGGTAAAGGAGTGTGTCGGCTGGGGATCAAACCCCGGACCATGTGCATGGTCGGCGAGGGTCCTAACCGCTGCACCACCGACGCTACACCAAGAATGGTATATACAAATTCACCTACAGTTGACTGAACAAATGGATAGATAAATGCAACTATCGAGAGCCTTTGAATTCCTTATTATTTGGTACCATCATAAAAAGAAATATCATCGGAGACCCTAATCAGGGTTCTTAATAAGGTTGGAATTAGGTTAGCATTTAAAGTAGCCAGCTCACTTTAGCACAAACTACTATTGGCTTAAGGACCTGTTAGATCCAATTGGGAAAAAATAATATAATTTATCAACTGGTATGTAATGACTCTAAGGTCAATTCCATAGGTCAAACTGTGGTGAGAGCTGTCTACTAGCCAAATTAGTAGACAGTAATTTACGTCAATATTTACGTTCTCAAGATTTGTCGTGAGAAAATATGAACAAAGACTGATTCAACAACCAACCACAGCAGACTGCGTAGGCGGATGCAGTTAACATATATATGATCTGACATTCAAGAAACAGTCACAAATAGATGAAAGATTAACTTTAAGTGAGAAACAACCAATCAGAAGACCGTGTTTGTTTGCTTAAATGATCTATAATAATGTACATGAAAATATATAAATATGCTTTGATTTCCTTAATAAACGATCTGTTGCCTGGCCCTTGTCTTCTGTTGTTACAAAACCACTAGATCGCGATCAATCAGATTATAGGAACACAGAAATTTAACTAGAGCTAGAATAATTGATCCTGCTATATCATATACAGCAAGTCAGGAAGTTGTCAGAATACACTGATATGCTAATGAGAAATAAATTGTGCTCGAAACATCATCATCCTGTTAGTAAAACTGTATCACTGAGTGTTTTACCAAACAAACTTAATTAATATGGCATTATATTCTTCCACAGTGGTCAAATTCTACTCTGATATCCCCATGATTGTTGAACAAAGTGCTCACTTAGCTAAACAGTTGAACAGAACAGTACGACCACAGAACACTAGAATAACTGCACGCTGGGCTATGTTGCCACACTGGATCAGTAAACAGAGAAAAAGTAGTAGGTCATATGCCGCAGCGTAAGACTAGGCTAACTAAACGCTACAAACTGACTTAGTACTGGTATTAGATGGTTGGAGGACCTAAGTTTCGTGCTAGTTGGCACTCGTCAGCAAGGCGTATCTGCAACCTTGAAGGAACTCATGTCCCTTCTGAGATTCGATCCCGCGTCACCCAGTGCTGCAGCCAGAGACGTTACCACTGAGCTATTCGGGCTCGCGATTGACCTCCTGTAGGACTGTAGTGGATATTTTCATTTAACACTAGTAACTAGTGTGATGCGTCTAGTCCTATCTTAGGTGCAGACTATACTGTACAATGTACACCGTGATGGCGAGCTACCTAGAATGGTGGCCACATTACAACCTGACTGATAGAATTCAGTCTGCACCAAAGATAGGACTAGATGCATCACACTAGTTACTAGTGTCAAATCAAAATGACTCTGTACTACATGATAAGGTCTGCGAGCATTGGTGTTGGTTGTCTCTAAGTTGCGTATGACACATCGATAGCCTGATAATATACCCTGGTGTAATCTCACTTTTCATTTTCGTCTTAATAATTTAATCCTAGCACAACAAAATTATGATGTCATCATGGTTGCAAATATTACAAAGCCCCCAAAACTTAATAATACTCTAGAGGTTACTCACTATGCCACATATAAAGTTATCTAATCATTGAGTGACTCTAAGAATAACGATGAAGAAAGATTTATTTTTATTTTTGATTACAGCTTGATGCCACACTGTATTTTCAGTACAAGTATGAAATTTTCAGAATGGATATCGGTAGCCCGAATTTTGCAGGCCGACCATAGATATCGGGTGTGCGTCAGCAGGGGATCGAACCCCGGACCATGTGCATGGTCGGCGAGAGTCCTAACCACTGTGCCACCGACGAACACATAAGAAGCATCTCTAAATTCCCTATCTTGAAAACCGATGATATATTCGTATGGTGCAAAAAAGAACACAGTTTGGTAGTGAATACAGATTAATACCAAACACTTGGACATCTCACCAATCCACAAGTGATCCTAAGCTGATAAAACATTTAACTTTGACTCATCCATCCGGATACAGAATTCGTTATAATACTGTTATTCAGGTGAGGAAACCTACAGTGACAGTTCTGATAAAATCTCCTTGCAATTGAAAAAAGCTTTAATTTGCCACAGTCTACATGCCTTCGAATGAAAACATTTTGAATGAAATCTATGTCGATGTTCTGCTTAGATACAGTCAACAACAACAATAGTGAGGTCAGCCAAAGTGAATGTAGGGGCAGTTATTCTCCCGTGGTAATACACAGCAATGAGAACATAATATGAAGTGGATTGGTGAAGATTTAAACCTACAAATGATTAGACCTACTGACCGAATGAATGGCAAACTGCTCGTAGTGAGAGATGATGATCCTTACAAAACAGAACTATGGTAAAACAGTTAGTCAACGTTCCCAGTACTTCAACGTTTTTGTTAATGACTTCTATGTTAGGGGACTATTGGAAAAACGAGAAGTTCTGAACAGCTATTTCGTCCCAGTTTGATACCCCCCACCCACCAGCCTTTGACACTGGCTGGCGGTTGTGATATTTTTTTTTTATTCCTTCACGTTCCCCAGGGCTTCAAGCTAGAGGCTTGAAGTTTCTGTAGCAGTGTTTATTTTTACAGGATGGGGTTGCTAGCCTCATGCCCAACCTTTCCTCTTCACCAGCTTCAGTTCTGGCTTAACGAGGTAAAGGAGTGCGTTGGCGGCCGGGGATCGAACCCCGGACCATGTGCATGGTCGGCGAGCGTCCTAACCGCTATGCCACCGACGCACCCGGTTGTGATATATTAATCACAAATTGGCAGAAACTGGAATACGTGGGCATTTTGATCAGATTCCAGTGGTTAAATGGTCAACAAGCTCGTCTTATAACCTAGAGCACCTGGGAGTTTACACCCTAGTGGGTACATGCTGTTGTCAAGCACTCCCTAATTTTTCAAGGGTTCTCCAACCCATTTGAGCTCGTGATCAAACCAGTAACTAACCAAATCCCTGCAAACCAAAATTTGATTATTTCTATATATTCGTAAACAAAACTAGATAAGCATTTAAACGTTAGGCTACACTACCATTCCGATGCTTTTATGTGATATATGCTAATTAGTTTCAGAACTAAAAATCTGCATGACTGCGGAAATGTGTTATGTAACATTGGATGTAGAAACAAATTAGATTGTTTGTTTGACTTATCCGAAAACAAATGAATAACTAATTAACAAACAGGAAATATATATATATATATACAAATATATAACTCTGAACACTTTGGAGTCCAATGGAACAGATAACGGTAGATTACATCATAAACAAATCATTGTTTAATTAGCATATTTTGTAATGCATCCATAAACAAAGATATGTGGATCGATAAATATGCTTGATAAAATATTCACTTTCAGAGAAAGTAGATAGTAATGGGAACAAATGCTGCAGAGTAATAATATCATATGGTTTTTTGATGGAATCATAAAGATTTTAAATGGGCAGGAAGCCGTAGAATGTGTTTCGTGCTCGTTGGCATTAATCAGAAGGATTATCTGCAATGCCGAAGGAATTCGTGTCCCCTCTGAGATTTGAACAAACGTCAAAGGCGTGGTCACAGAGCTCTTCAAATTTGGAATTACCTTCCTGTAAGGCAGTTATGAATACTCAGACTGGTCACTGAGCAGTAAATCATATCATGCGTCTAGTCCTCGGTTTGATGCAGACTGAATTCTATCAGTGACATTTGCGATGTGGCAATGTCTCTGACTACAGCACTGGGTGATACCGGTTCGAATCTCAGAGCGGACATGAGTTCCTTCAGGACTGCAGATAAGTCTTTCTGACAAATGACAGCAAACACGAAACCTAGATCAGTCTGGGCTTCCTGGCGATTGCCTCCGACCGTCTAACACCAATTCAAACTGCACCGCGATGGGGAGGCACCTAACATGGTAACCAAATTGCGAACTTGACTGATAGAGTTCATCCTGCACCAAACCAAGAACTGAACGCATGACACTAGTTATTACCTAATGACCGACCAGAGCGATCATAAAGATTATTTAAAAAAAATGAAATGCAGACTAAAATTTTGCATCCTGAAAACCTGTACTTGGTTGAAGCAGTGATAATTATTTACCTCAGAATTGCAGAAAAATAGGAAACAAGTGGGACTTTACTGAATCTTCAACGATCCTTACCCTAATATTATCATTGTTATTCGTTCCTTGCACAAAAATCATCATTGTACACAGTCCCCTGTCGTCAACTCTTACCTGATTACCCACAAGCTTCCATTTCTTCTACATATTATCTCCTCCATGTCCCTATAGGGCTCCCAATTCATCACTTTCTATGCGGGTTCTACTCGAGGGTTTGGATGGAATCCCACCTGAATGTCTCCTCTGCCTAAATAAACTACATGCTATAAACTAATCCGATTAAAGACGCAACGTTCGCATCATTATGGCACACTATCATGGACTTTCAGGTGTAACATGAAGTATACAGAGTTTAAAACTAAAAAGTCAAGAGCAATAACCAACAAAATTAATATTTATCAAAGTGGTTTCACATCAACTAAAGAAACGTGGGAAAACACATAGATCAGACAGTAATTTTATCCTAAGAGCATCAGTTTAAAGATACTGCTAGTTAATTTTCAATATACCTTAAAGGTTTCAAGAGTTAGTTCGTAGAGATCTCATTTGTTTCAGGTTTAATACCACAGATTGATATGAGTTAGAGAACCATTAAAAACCAAGGAGTACTGGATATCTGTTTTGTCCTAGTTTCGGATGCATGGGCAGTAAGCTTGGATTCGAATCCCGGTAGGTGCGTAATGCCGTAGAGTACCAGACTATGACGTAACAGCTGTCCAGTGGTTTAGTATTTCTCTAACTGATATCAATCCATGACCAAAACTTATGTACTTCAAGTATCACTTTATCTTATCGTAACTATCCATGAATCGATTAATAAAACCATGAAATTGAAAAGTGTCAACTGATCAGTATTCAGTCAAATAGTTCGTAAAAAAATAATTGATTGAATTTTTCGAATTATATTTGCCAAAAATCACAAAATCTTATGCCTCTAGTATAAAAAGGTGTTTAATTATATGGCAAACTCGTAGACTATTCAATCAATGGGGCCTGATTCAATGGCCGATGGGTTCTAACCTCTACCAATCTGCAATTTTAGTGCGAGCACTAGCCAATGTCACCGGAGAGGATTTTTCCTTACTCCTGATAGGAAGGAATCCACACTGCTGACAACTTTTCATTGAAACTCCAGAAAACTCCGTCCTGTCGCCGCCAGTCACTACTAGAGAGCATCACATTAATTTTCAAAAATTTGGCTGGTGGTCGCGCCAAAGCCCCAAATTAGTAAATGTTAGAATTCATAGGTCATTGAGTCAGTTCACAGTGGCTGAATGATCGACGAGCATATCTTGTAGCCGGAAGGTCCTGGGTTCGAACCCCTGTGGTGGATGCGTACTGCCGATGATTCCCAAACTAGGATAAACCAGCTGTTCAGTTAGTACTCCTTGTTGGTTTTCAATGGTTCTCTAACTGATATTAATCCGTGGTCAAACTGGAAAAACAAATCAACTTTTGAAAATGTAATTATATGGTTCAATTATCCGTGACTTTCACGATAACATGAACTGTAATACACATGTACAATAAGCCTGGGTGATTTGAATCATGAGAGAATATACTTTTATACAACTATAATCTCATAAAGAAAATATACGTTGAAGTGTGAGTGTGTGTGTGTCCCCTATTTCAGACATTATTGGATTTACGCTCAGTTAATAGGGTATTACCCGGTCTACATAAAAAAAATTAATTCATTAACACATATCAATTATAAAGCAACCTTTCAAATGTTCATGATTTTGGGTAACAAAATCAGAAACAACCAAACATATCTAAGTAGTCAAAGTATTATGGATAGCATTTGTAGTTACTGGGATAAAAGAGCTTTGGAAATTGCCTATTTGTAGAATATTATAAAGAAATCGAATGCGTGACGAAAACTCAACAGTATGTTATCTATCTTGTTCAATAACATTATTAGAGAAAATAATGTGAATACAATGCTTCGGTGGTTCACTAGTAGAATATTCGCCAAACAACAATATTGGTCCGGGGTTCGACTCCCGACCGATTCAGTCCTAAGCCTAGCATAGACAGTAGTAGACCCGCAAAGGCGAAAGATTATACGTGAGGCTAGCAACCCCACTCCGTAAGAAATAAACTCCACTGCCACTGAAACTTCAAAGCTGAAGCTTGAAGCCCTATATTCCACTCAGAACGCAGTGGCATAAAGAAAATCTGAAGTCAATAAGCAGACGAACAGATCAAGTTAAGGATTTGTACAAAAATGAATCAATTCACCATAGAACACCATAGAAATAAAAATAGGAAAATTGAAGGAATCCATGATGAATAAGTAAGTGTATGAAAGAGACAGAATAGTTTAATACGAACACTAGTGAAGATGTTCAGAATTTTGAAGATGATAAAAGGTTAACATTCTTTCTCCACACTCGAAGATCCACAGGTGAAAACCAACACGTTGGCAGAAAAACCAGAGAAGACATGACTTCAAGTGAACATAGAGAAGACAGAGGTGATGAAGATAACCAATCAACAACAACAAGCACCAATCACACTACCCACGAAAGAAATTTCAACGAGGTCACTTCTTTCACTTATTTGAGCAGCATCGTCTCAGCTACAGGCGACAAGGATGAGGATATCAAAACCAGGATCGGAAAAACAAGACAGATATTCATTATTCTGAAATCACTCTGGAAATCTGCTGAAGTCAGCATAAGGAACAACACTAATGTCAAGTCTGTGCTTCTGTATAGTTCAGAGTCTTGGTGCGCCACGATAAGCATTTCCAACAAGCTACTGCCGACATTTATCATCAGATGCCTCTGTCCCATACTGAAAAGCATAGAGCTAAAAAGGACATGCAACAAGGAACTTTGGCAGGCAACGGACCAACCAAGTATCCATCGCGCAACAAATATGCCTAAGGATATGGAGATGAATTGGATAAGTGCTGAGAAGACTGTTGAGTGGCATCATACACCAGGCAGGAAATCGAATGAGACCCAAATGTGAATCGAGGAGTTAGGCAGCCAAGGGTGCGATTGAGAAGATCGTGGGAGGAAGAGATGAAAGCCGGTGATAAATTTTTAAGCCAAATAAGTAGGACTTCAGAGAACAGGATAAAATGGAGATATACTGTTGAATTCCTATGTTCCACTTGGGATACAAGCGAATGGAAGTTGAAAATCCACAGAGCAACATCATAAATGCAGCAACGAATGATAAACACACGGCCACTTCGTGTATACAGCACGATATTAGAAATAGTCAGAAAGTATATAGAAAGACAGCAACATAACAAAACAAATATGGTAGCAAAATAATCCTTCAAAACACATAACACATAGTAGCATTCATCACACAATCGACATACAAGATTAGACTGACAATCATTGTAGTGACATGCTCCTGAAATTCCATTTTGTTTTTCGAAACTTGGATTTGTTGATATCCGTTGACGTTTAGTCATAATATCTGAAAAGAGAAGAAATAAAATACTTTCAGTTAAAGAGGAAATACAATGAAAATCTCTTGTGTAAAAAGGTACACAAAGTTGCACAGGTTTTAATTGGGCAATATAATCGAAACCCTGTAAATGACCATTCTTTCATATCTCAAAGATACTTAAGGATCAAGGGGAAATCTTCAGACTAAGAAGAAGAATAAGGTACGTACGTGACACCTAAAATAGAAAACACTTTGAATAGCTGACCGGATATGGTGGCAAATCTAGCCAGCATCCATTTAAAACTAATCGAAATCTTTCAGTCATTTTAGACATTACACTATATGAAGTGAAAATGAAGCGAACTGATGCTTGGAGGTGCTTTTATTCCTTTCAGTTCCTAGTGGAACACAGGGCTTCAAGCTTCAGTTTTGAAGTTTCAGTAGCAGTGGTGTTTTAAACGGGATGGGGTTGTTAGCCCCACGCCCACCCTCCACTCTTTATGGAGGGTGGGGGGCTTACAACCGGCCAATGGGGGTAAAGGTGTGCACCGGCCGAGAATCGAACTCCAGACCATATACGTGATTCGGGGTACTTGTAGGTGTTAAGAGTTGATTCCCTGGGGAGCCAATTTGATTTATATTTCATATTACTTGGCACACAGCAAGCACTATGTTGTCTTCTGATACTCTCTTGCATAAAATACGCTGTTAAGAATCCAAAGAAAAGGCGAACTGGTAGATCACTAATTCAAATATATTATTATTGTTTCCTTTACGTTAGCAGTGGAACATAGAGCTTCAAGCTTCACCTTTGAAGTTTCAGTAACAGTGATGTTTATTTTTGCGGGGTGGGGTTGCTACCTTTATGTCCAACCTTCCCTCTTTACCAGTCTTATTACAGGCTTAGTGAGTTAAAGGAGCGAGTCGGCCGGGGATCGAATGCTCGCCGACTTATCACTCGGTCCGATTTCGATTCCCGATAGACACAATCCTTAAGTTCGCCTTTTTTCTACCACTCAGCAGTAAGCCCAGGAAAGAAGGTGAGAAGGAAGGCTAGTAACCCTAGGCCCCTTCGACAAACAAAACACCATTGGTACTGCAACTTTAAAGCTTGAAACTCTGTGTTCCACTCGAAACGCAAGCGAATGTAAAAAAGAAGGTTATATATATATAAAAGTCTACGGAAAATAAAACCATTACATAAAAGTATGAACATTATCGTAACCGAAAATTTTTTTAGAAAAACATTTTAATTTACTACGAAACATATACCCCAACAACTAACGAATTGAAATAGGACTGCAGATACGCCTTTCTGACGAGTGCTAACAAACACGAAACCTAGGTTCGAGGCTTCCTGCTGATTGTCCCCAACCATCTAACAACAATTTCGAGTATACCAATGATGGCGAATCGACTAGCATCGTGACCGCACTGCACACTTGACTGATAGAATTCAGTCTACATCAAACGAAAGACTAAGACGCATGGACGTTAATTACGTTCTAATGTCCAATCTAAGATGCCATTATACTTTGTGAGTAGACGATTCAAACACTATAAGGTATGAGACCTATCTTTAGTTGTTCTTTTTCTCATGACCAAGATACGTTATTTCTTTTTACTAACTCTCTCTATAGGTTTTTTACATGCGACTTCAATTACAGCCGTAAAGTAACCAAGTTCACACAAAAATACACACCCACACGAATACTGTATAGCATATGACATTCAGCTGAAAGTAAACCGTATAATATATTGCTAAGTTATTCAAATACACATTAGAATAAATGTGTATCCAAATAATAAATAAGTATACTCATAATCCTAGGTCTTTTAATAAATGAATAACTTAGCTACATGCCGTTTACTTTCAGTTTAATATAATATTTCTACTAATTCGCATAGTAAACACGACACAAATAATACACAAATATCACACATAAGTAAACACATACGCTATATACACAATTAATTGACAAACACAATTGTATATGTATGTGGTATTAATATTAGCATTATTTTTATCTAGTAAAATTATTGTTCAACTATAACAATAACAGGCTATTTTTTATGAATATAGACTGTGTAAAAAAATACACGTGAACTCGTTTAGGTGTAAACACACACACACACCCAATGGTCATGAAGTTCATTATTAAAAGTAACTGTAACCAACATTTGTATATTTTAATGTGTTTGACTTTTTTTAAAAAAACTAACTTTCTAGTTGAACTATGGCATTTCAATTTAGGATCCAGCAAAAAACAGACATTACTCGACCGACACAAGTCAGAATTTTTGTTAGCTATGGTAAATTCAACTGTTCCTGTGGTTCAAGTTATTTAGAGTGTACGATTAGGCAGGTTCGTCTACGAGTTCGAGAACATTCAGCAGCTTGGTTCATCAATTAGTAAGGGGGGAAATTAAATGCATAAAAAGCTCGATTCTGTCACACTTGATCGATACTGGACATCACGTCGATGCCAACACAGCTTTCAAGGTTATATACCAAATCCCGAAGTTGTTGTCTCCTAAACATAGTTGAAGCTGTTGTAATAAGATCGACTAAACTGGAACTTTATATCCAAAAAGAACATGTTCAAACTCTGTTCCTACTGTGGATAAACTTGGATTAATGATTCTTATTCTCACTAAGAGTGCCCCTTCTCCTTATCCCTCTTTGATTTTTTTTTCATTGGTTTTGCTTTTTATCCCAATTATTGTTGTTATTATGCATTGTAATTTATACCCTTTATTCAAACATGGTCTCAATACAGTAGAATTTCCCATTCATACTATCCGGAATTATATATAAGCTGAGATTTTGTAAACTCTGGTTTAATAATATTTTGATAAAGCTATTAGCATTAAATAGCGAAACGTCAATAAAAACAATATTGTTTTGTTTTTCATTTATTCAGAAGTACAAAAAACCTTTATTATAATGAATCCGGAATTATTATTATTATTATTATTATTATTATTATTATTATTATTATTATTATTATTATTAGTGATATTATCTCTTTTGTCAATATAGAGCTCCGCCTATTTCATTTCATTCACATAGTGGTTATTTCATGATGAACTCTTCTCATTGCAGTCTCACTACTATCGCCTCTTTAATACATACTACTTTGTACTAGTCACTCACTCACTCACCTGACACCTTTTATAACCTCCAACCGACTTGCGTCGGTGGCACAGCGGTTAGGACGCTCGCCGACCATGCACATGGTCCGGGGTTCGATCCCCGGCCGCCAACGCACTCCTTTACCTCGCTAAGTCAGTAATAAAGCTGGTAAAGAGGAAAGGTTGGGCATGAGGCCAGCAATCCCATCCTGCTAAAATAAACACTGCTACAGAAACTCCAAGTCTCTAGCTTGAAGCTCTATGTTCCACTGGGAACGTGAAAGAATGAAAGAAAAAGAACCGACTTGTCAATTTTTTCTACCCCACAACCTACGAATCGATTATGACTAATCACAACCACCATTGTCTCCCATTTCACAATATTTTGTATTCGATTTCAACCTAGCACATTTGTCACACAAATGCTACTACTTATTTTGTCACACTACAACTACAAATCTGTTATTCTACGTAAAAAATGTATCCGCCACATAACTGGTCATTATTGTAACAACAATAAATATTATTATTATATGTAAGAATATCGAGAGGAGAAATTATTGAAAAGAATATTCTCCGTTCCGATTGGCTTTTAAATAATAATTGATTTAGTTTATACTCATAATAATATGAACAGTTAAAATCGAAGTTTTGGAATTTTATGCAGTATACACACGTTGCTCTGTAGACCAAGCACTTTATTAGACTGAAATTGTGTTTTGAAAGTACGGAACTGAAAAGATGAGTATACTGACCAGTTGCTGTAGCTTTTTTATCTACACTTCTTATCGTACTGTCCTCTTTTCTACTCATAGAGACGCCTAGGAACGAAATACTGGAGTTTTTTTTCTTTCTCGATGGTAAAATTTACAGCTGCATGCACATTGTTAAATTTGTTAAGGATGTTACTTGCTTTAACTCCATGTAACTGACAGTAGAATTCTAGTTCATCAATTACATCTTTCAAAAATGCCAATTTTCTCTAGTTTCGCAAGGAAAATGTTGGCTAGAATTGGCCCTAATGGTGACCCAATTGCCACACTATCAATCTGATTGTATAGTTCCTTAGTAAATAAGAAGTGAACATTGATTATGCATTTCAAGAGAAGCTCTTTCATAAAAGATATAGGAATACCAACATTAATGTTTTGTCTGATAAGTTCTTCGTATACAAAGTCTACTGTTTCTATAAGTGGTACATTGATGAATAAGGAAGATACGTCAGTGGCTGAGTGAGAACAGTTACCCAGAAAAATTCGTCGATAAGAATATGAATCAAAAGTCAAATCAGGCCAAAGTACAAATAATTTCAAGAGGGCCTTGTTCTTAAAACTTCAGTTCCTCAGCGTTAACATCAGAAAGATATTAACACAATGCCTAAGGAATGCGGTAGAAAGAGAATGCAATGCCGCTGAAGTATGCTGTCTCTTCAAAACCACCACTATTTCGCGTTCAGCAGAGGAAGATAAACTAACTAATTTCACCTCTTCTATGTGTACCTACGAATTTGACTGCTTCTATGGAGTCAGTTACGTGGAACGTACAATTAGGCGTGTTCATCATCGGATTTCTTAACACCATCCTACATGGCGGTTGGTTAAGTAAGGGACAAACAAGGTTCATTCATAGATCTATACTTTTTTATATCGTAGATAAAGAACACAAAATTGATGTAAACAAGACCTTCAAAGTCATCTACCGCATACCAACTAATCTTAACTTTACCTCAAGAGTTCTGCTATTACACATTACTGAGGCTGTTGAGATCTACATTAAGAAGCCTAACTTATGTATCCAAAAGAAATTAGTTCAGACACTTTCCTTACCATGGCCATCAAGGTTTCAATGATCCTTAATTTGTTGTAGAAATTTCCCTAATTTTATTTGACATTCTATTTACTATTACATTTTTATGATTATCTATAACTTATGCATCTTTCTTGAACTGTAATTTCATTGATCTTAACAAATCGATAAAATATTTTTTTAAAATACCAATATTGTGAATGACGATTATTCTAGAATATTCTGTGCACATATATAACTGCAGAAATTATCGAAAAGAATATGGTTTGCTCAAATTTTCATTTGTCTTCTAAATGTTAAAAATGTCATGGTATGATGCCATGTTTTGGTTTGACCACCACTAGCTCTTTCCTAACCTAATCTTCCTATATCAATCAGCCAACACTAGCCGTCAAGAAAGGCGATGACTGGGCATGAGTAATACGTATCCTAGCCATTAAAATCGATGCAGCTTCACAACCTCGTCGATAGATTTACCCACCTTACTTAACAAAATACAAAAATTAAATTTTCTCATCATTTTAGGATGTCTATGTGTAACAATGACATAAGACTTAACCCTAAGTGACTTCAGAGACTCAGGAATTGACTTATTACCAGGGAATAATCTCGTTGACTTAGAATATGTAGATGATATAGTCCTTCCTCCTAGGTGAAGACGCTGACAAAATCTAGTAGAGTATTCTGAACACCTTAAGCTGCAATCTACGAATGTTTGGCATGCGATTTGCTCCCACCAAATGTAAGATGATGTCACAAGATTGGACTACACTGACTCCTGGCTTAAGGATAGGCAGGAGTGAAGTGGTAGAGTGTTTTGACCAATTCATTTATTTGGGAAGTTGCATCAGCCCACGCCAGCGGGTTGATCGCTGACGAAATCTCAGCACGGATACAGAAGGCTCGTTTGACCAATGCCAACTTATTCCATCTCTGATGTAGACGTGATATCCGGCTGGCTATCGATCAAAGGGTGTGTGTACTGCTCAGCAGTCCGCTCTGTCCTCCTTTATGGCTGTGAGGCATGGTTACTGAAAATGGAAAACATGGAAAAACCGGCTACGTGTCTTTCACAGTAGGTGTGTGCGTTCTATTTCCCATGTTAATTGGTATAACAAGGTGAGTAATATTGATGTTAAGATTCGGTCGAGTGCCAGTTAAGGAGAAGAAATCAATAGACGGGGTGAAGTTACATCGGCTGAGATGGTTAGGATATGTGTTAAGCATGTCTAGCCGTCACCTTCCACGACAGTCAGTGTTAGCCGACACAGGACATAGGATCAGGTTGGAAAAGGGGTGGTGGTGGTGGTGGTCAAATTAAAACGGCTTTATCAGTCAATGAAATCCACAACAGTTAGTCTAAGCCACGTAGGAAGATTTAGACTTCCTGGTTCGGGACGGTAAAAACTAATGGTTGGAAACAATTGGTGACATGGCTCAAAATCGTTCTCAGTGATGGCGCAGATGCATCCACTCCTTGTGACCTATAATTTCCAATCAAACTATATTGTTCTTCGTTATTATTATTCCTTCTGTATCGAATCTGTGTCTATTGTCTTCATTTTGCATTTCTTCTACTTTCTTCTCTTGCTTTGTGTGCTACATGGAGTGTGGCTACTTGAACTACTGCACATCACTGCAAAGTTCTGTGTCGAAAACAGATAGACAAAATGACTAAGGATAAAACGGTAACATAAGTGAAACTTCTTCACCATAGGTACAGTTAACAGTAACTTCCTTCAAAATTCCAAGTCGCTTGTAATTATTACTAAAATAATTCTTAAGTATTCAGAATGATTAACAGTTTACAAACAAAGCGATGGAATTAAAAACTTCTTTAAAAACAAGACATGAAGAGAGAACTTCAACAGATAGCAAAGCTAATTATGAAATAAGAATACATACCTAATCTTTCCATGAGACGTGAAAAACTTTCTTTTAAATTATGAGCACTTCCATGGAAACGATTAGCATTCACACTGCGTCGACCATCTGTAGGCTGAAGTGTTCGAAATTTATCTTTATCAGTTTGTACTGGTGGAATTTTTGCATGTGATGTAGACGGTGTAGGATGATAATCTGTAGCCGCTGAGAAATCTACCGGATTAGGAGACGGTTGAGAGAAGGAAGTCTTTTTCTCCGTTGAATTTGAATCCGTAGGTTGTAATGATTCAAAATTATCCTAATGAAGGATATTTAAAGCAGTTTTAGTTACAGATTTAGTACTCATAATGCATTTGACTTTAGACTTTTAGAACAAAACTAAGCATAAATCATGAAAAGAAAACAGAATAATATATGACACTCAAAAACCATGCGGAGATCTACGCAAGCAGTTCTATGAGCCTCACACACATACAACCTCAATATATACATCATCTGCTTTATGTAGTCACAGCTAACCAGTTGGAAACAAACAAATGTTTGATCAAGTCAGCTTTATTGTCAGTATTTAGCGCAAACTAGATGTGGGTTTAAACAAAAACACTTTGTACAGGCTAACTGGTAATTTTCAGCAGCCGATAGAACAACACACCGAGTATATCTATACACGCATGATACAGATACCGGTTGGAAAATCTTCCTCAAGACTATTAAACTGTTACTAGATGGTTGGAGGCAGTCGACATGACATTAGTTACTACCTAGAGTCCTAACTCGAAGACTTGTAAGCGAAAACCGACAAACTGGTTGAAGAGGCAGAGAAAACAGGACTTCAGGGGAACATAGAGAAGACGGAGGTGATGAAGATAACCAACGGACCGTAACAACTACAACCAGAACTAATCACCATCAACGGGAGAGATTTAACAAAGGTTGCCTCATTTACTTGTCTGGGAAGCATCGTTTCAACTACAGACGGAATGGACGAAGATGTCAAAGCCAGCCAACCAGAATCGGAAAGGCAAGATACGCCTTCATCAATCTGAAACCAGTTTGGAAATCTTCTGCACTCAGTCGGCATAAGGAACATGATTCGGATTTCCAACACCAATGTGAAGTCGGTTCTTCTTTACGGGTCAAAAACTTGCACTGCGTGTCAAGAAAAGGATTTCCAATAGGTTGCACACTTTTATGAGTAGCTGCCTTCGCTGGCTCTATACTGGAGATCAAATGACAGGCCAGAGAGAATAAGTAACAAGAAACTCTGGCTGGGAACAAACCAACCAAAAGCTGATCGCTCAACAAATATGTAGGAGAAAATGGAGATGGATCGAGCATACGCCGCTGAGGAGGCCGTCGAATGACATCGCGCGCAATGCATAGCTCAAGTGGAATCTCAATGGGAAGCAACGAGTGGGTCGTCAGTGTGAGGAAGACATGGAGGAGATCGTGTGAGGAAGAGATGAGAGAGTTTGGTCAATCGTGGACCCAGCTGAAGAGAATGACAGAAAACAGAACAAAGTGGAGACGTGTTGTTGAAGCCCTATATTCCACTTGGAACGCAAGGGAATAATAATAATAGAGTCCAACGAAAAAAATTTTTAATGTGTATTTCAGACAACAGCACACACAATGTTGACTGTGTATCGAAATGATTGAACAATAGCCAGCTTCCATGAAGATGGAAATAATAACATAGACCCGTTACGCCATTGACTTACGATCTTAAAAATACATTACATTGTGAAATGATGAGATAAACTTTAGCTACCGCCACGCTGACAATTTAATATTTTTGATTACAGCTTGATGCCACACCGTATTTTCAGTACAAGTATGGAATTTTCAGAATGGATATCGGTAGCCCAAATTTTGCAGGCCGACCATAGATATCGGGTGTGCTTCGGCAGGGGATCGAACCCCGAACCATGTGTATGGTCGGCGAGAGTCCTAACCACTGTGCTACCGACGCATAATCAGCATCAAATACAGCCTACATTCAATAAAACCACCGAAACTGAAGTCTGAGCATCAAACGTGCAACTAATGAATGCATCGTTCAAAGATGGATTACAAAAGCGCATTATACAAAAGCCACTGCAGCAATTACACTATTGTGGTGAGAGCTGTCTACTAGCCAAATTGGTAGACAGTAATTTACGTCAATGTTTACGTTCTCAAGATTTGTCGTGAGAAAATATGAACAAAGACTGATTCAACAACCAACCACAGCAGACTTTGCGTAGGCGGATACAGTTAGCATATAGATGATTTGACATTCAAAAAACAGCCACAAAGATATGCGAGATTAACTTTCAGTGAGAAACAACCAATCAGAAGACTGTTTGTTTGTTTACAATAATCTATAATAATGTACATGAAAATATATAAATATGTGTTGATTTCCTTAATAAACGATCTGTTTCCTGTCCCTTGTCTTCTGTTGTTACACTATTACTAAAACCTCAAAGCTTGAAGCCTTATGCTCCGCTAGGAGGGCAAAGGAATAAGAAAAAAATGGGAATATTAACGACGATACGATAAAAACCTTTTATGGGGAAGAATGAAGCAATTGACATTTGCGTAATGGATTCAAACCTCAGCCCATAATAAATTTGCACTACTATTTTACAACTTTGTTTGGTTGCATAAAAATTCTATTTAAATTGTGTTAATTGGTTGACCAAATGGAATTCTAATTACTTAGTAACGACGAACACCTCCCACAACAATCAAAAATGCAACACACAAGCTGGATGGAATGCATAAACCTATTCCCAGCAACGTACTTCCAATTCAACGGCCAAATATATGAACAAGTCAAAGGAACACCCATGGGATCACCAATATCAGGTTTGATTGCAGAAGCAGTGATACAAAGGCTCGAAAACATAATCCTACCAAAGATCAAACCAAAAATTTGGATACGTTACGTAGACGACACATTTGTAATAATCAAAAGAAACGAGTTAGATAAAACTCACAACTTAATAAACAACGTCTTCAACGACATCAAATTCACAAGAGAAGAGGAATCCGAGAACAAAATCCCATTTTTGGACGTCTTAGTCAAGTGAACAACTACAGGGGAATTAGAAACCCAAGTTTATAGAAAATCAACTCACATGGACCAAATACTGAATTACAACAGCAACAATCCAATAACACACAAAAGGAATTGCATACAAACACTATTTAAGAGGGCCAGAACTCATTGCAGCACTCCCACCTTAAGAAAAATTGATGAAAGATATCTCATGGACGTTTTCCAAAAGAATGGATATCCACGGAATTTCATCAGAGGACATATATCCCCAAGCCAGCCTATAAAGCCAAAAGCCCCCAAGAAAAGCACAAAGAAAATTACCCTACCATATATAAAGGACATTTCAGAAATCACTGCGAGACTCTTCAAACCTTTAGGAATTGACGTCGCACACAAACCAACAAAATCACTTCACTCAGTTCTATGTCAACCAAAAGACTCAACAATGAAGATAAAACCAAAATCATCTACAAATTAATTATAACAACTGCGAAAAACACTACATTGGCCAAAGTGGACGTCCTCTTCGTCTTCGTATCCATGAAAATAAACTGGCCGTCAAAAGACATGACATCCACTCCTTCATATCACCACATACAGACAACCACGGACATCAATTCGACTGGGACAATGTTCAAATATTAGACAGAGGAAACAACAAGAATGCTAGAGAATTTTTAGAAGCCTGGTATTCCAGTGAATCATCAATCAATAGACACATCGAGATAGACAAAATTTATCAACCGATAAGAAAGAAACTTCACACACAAAGGGTCAAAGTTCAAGTCAAAGAAACAATCAGTTCCAATACAAGTAGCCTAGAAGGTGTGAAAACAAACAAAAGCAACCAATCACGTCCAAGATCAACAGGAGTGATGATTAATAAACTCGTGGAGAAATCGAAAAGCTCACTTCAAATTGAAGTATGCGCTGAAGATGTCACCTAGTAGAGGTGATGAAAGCTTCGCAAATTAACTATCTAGCTAAGAGAACACAACTACATCAATATATATATATATGAATTGCCAACAAAATTAAACATTGTAACAATGAAATACCTGACATTGATGATTTCTTTTAGAATTTACAGCATCTCCTTCAAGATGACCAGAATTGTTCACTTCAGCATTGTCCGTCCCACTTTCACCTTCTTCATTAACTGTCATCCCCTCCAAGGGTGATTCAGACGGTAAATGTTGTTGCATTTCTCCACCATTTGATTCTGAAGAAACATCAGGTAGCGGCCTTAAACTACTACTGTCTGTAGTTTCAGGAGTTAATGACTCTGATACAGGTGCTGTTCTCCTATGATGATGACGATGTGTATGTCGATGTGAGACACGTGGTGAAGTGCGATTAGACAGACGTCTACTCATTATTTCTGGAGTTAAATTAGCCTGAGAACCAGAAAATTCTTGGCCAAGATCAGCATATTCTGTATCCGATGGAAGTACATCTGTAGACCATGTATCACTGACAGTAGATCGAGTTTCATCTAAACACACAAATAACGTATATAATATTTAATAAGAACCAGACTAATAAGTCGATTAAAAAATCATCAATCATAAAAACAGTAAGTACAGTAAATACCAACTGATCAGAACATGATATATTATTAGAAATAAAATTCAACTGCATACATAAAAGACGGGTTTCCATCCACCTATTTGAAATTATTTTCTGATTTTAATTACGCCTATGCCACCACAGCTTTTATTATTATAATGTCATTATTTCCTTGGGTTTTGAGTGGAAAATAGGCTTTCAGCAGCATAGTCATTTCACTCCGTTTTTTTGCAATTTTTTTAACCTGCCTCTACGGCTGTTCATTCCCTCCACACACATGTTCTCCCTATTGTTACCTTTGGACCTAGGCCCGACTCATCATTTCCCATATGGGTTCTATTCGAGGGGCTAACTTTGCGTGTGATGTCACCTAGCTGTCTCCACAGAGTATCTAATCCACCTCCGTTTCCATTTGCATACTTCTTTGATCGATATGTCCTTGGTCGGTCTATTGCACTGCAGGAGTTTCTTATTGTCTATCCTTTCAGGTAGGCCAGCCATCTGATCTTCGGTATAGAGCGAAGGCATCTGTTGGTGCAAGCCTGCTAATTGCTGCTTGTTATTGTTGGTTAGTTATCTTCATAAGCAATATCTTCCCCATGTTCACTTGAAGTCCTGTCTGCACTGATTCTTCTGCCGACTAGTTAGTTCTCGCCTGTCAATCGTCGAGTTTCTGTGATATTAGACATAAATCATCCCCGAAGTCTTCTTGTAGTGTGCAGGCAAAAGGATTTACACAGGGCAATATAGATTTCACCAGACGGACAACGCAAAAATCAAACAGACTTCATCTCAATCTGAAGAAAGCGCAGGTACCCCCCCCCACTACAGTTACCTCAGATGATTGAGTGATTCAGATAAATACACACAACCACTAGTTATGCACACATATTTCAGAGTGAAACTGACTGTACAGCAGAGATAAACGAGACCTTTAGAGTTAGTTATCAAAAGAAACAGTATATTGGAGACAATTTTAACTTGTAAATAACACATAATTTTCATTTACTTCTGATGCAAGAAATAATTACACGTATTAATACTAGCTAGGTCAAACGATCACTGTGTATGCGCATTTTACACTATTCATTTACACATTCTTCTGGGTAAACTATTTAGTCAAACTGCTTAGTCCAAGCAAAAGTTCACTTTAAGGTCACCTGTATCCACCTTTAGGTGTGGCTCATTGACCTAAGCACAAGACCCTTAAACCAGTGGGCCTAGGATTCAAATTTCATTCTACCTAGTTAAGGCTGATCAACAGCTCTTACAGGTAGTCTATGGAAAAATTTATCCAGGTAACTGAGATGAACATACAAAGATATAGAAATAGGCAGGGATTGGTGTAAGCCAAAGTGAATACATTCAACGCACCGTACTTAAAAATCTATAGAAACAGAAATAAGATATTAAATAAAACAGAATAAATATAAAATAAGAGTAAAAAACAGTTGTTCGAATTTTCAAGACGGTAAAAACAAGCGATTATACTTCAGCCAATGGGTATTGAGAGAATTTAGATCAATGTCAGTGAACATTCCACCACAAACCACAAAGATTTACAGAATCGGAGAAAAGTAAGACCTATCATACAGTTTGTCTCACCCGCAACTACGCCAGGGATTGAACTCGGAACTTTCAGGCTATGAGGTCAGAGTCGTTGACTATTCAGTAATTTGAGCCGGAATTCAATGACCCATGAATTCTGACCTCCGTAAATTCGAGACATAGCTCAACCACTAACCAATGCTATTGACGAGCATCAAAATGGTGAACACATATTTGCGAAATAATCACTGACTGTCAATTTTCATACCTGATCCAAGTGGTTATTAATCCATTTATTTTTCCCACTTGAGAAAAATCAATATCTTGTTAAATAAGAACCATTTCAAGAGTTACTCAGCGGGGATTTTAAGTCTGAACACAGATTGATATCAGTTGAAGAATCATTGAAAACCGGAGAGTACTGAACAGCTGTTCCATCTTAGTTTAGGGTTTTTCATCAGTAAGTACCCACTGGGACTCGGACCCAGACTCGCTAGTGACTGGCTGCAGGACGAAGTTGCCTGGAGTTCTAGTGAAAAATCGTGACCAGTGGGGTCCACACGGTCGGGTATGAGAACAAATACGCGCCAATGACAGTGACTGGTGGTGGTGCTAAAACCACGAGATCGTACAGGTTGGATTCCATGGATCACTGAATCACGTCACAGTGACTAGAAGGTCTACTAGCCTACCTTGTAACCGGGAAGTCCCTGGTTCGAATCTCGCAGGGTGCGTACTGATGAAGAGTCCAAAACTAAGACAAAATGACTCTCCAGTACTCCCTGGTTTTCAATGATTCTCCAACTGATATCAATCCGTGACCAAACTTGAAATAACCATTCCATTTATTTATCTTTGAATCACAATGATTATTCAATTTACAATGAAAGAGTTTACTTTTCAAAAAAGAAACAACTTTGTATGAAGATATTTCACCCATACACCAAAATCTCCCATATTGTGCATTCTTTTCTATCTCCTACACAAAGAATCAATATACTGATTCTTAAAAATTTCAAAGGAAAGTTGTTTTTTATTTTACTATTTTTTATTACATAACCAACGTTATTTGTAAATTATTCACATCGTAGGTACGAAAAAAACTATCGTTGCCAAGAATTCAACTGAATGAAAAAACAAATTTAATGCGCCAACAACTATATTCAAATATTAGCATCAATCGATTAACGTCTTTCTGACGCCTAATCTCTTTGCAGCTTAGCTAAGTTATTTTAGAGTGAAAATGATGGACTTACACAAAAGGCTTTCGGCCAGTTACATCCAGGTTTCAAAATTCATTCCACCTCGTTATGTCTCAGTTCATTTTGTTCAGCTCGCGACAACCTAAATAAGTTTATTAAGACAACTATATACAAGGTGTAGAGCAATTATTACTATCCCCTTAGGTTATGAGCGAAACATAGCCGGCTTGTTTAAAACTTGGGCTATCAAAAGCCTCCGTCCTTAAAATGCGCATAAATATATCTTCTTCAGTTTGTTTTAATCTATCATAATACGACATCTAATGGTGTTATTTACTCTCGCGGGTATTTAGAATATTTACAGACTTGCTGTTTCGTAAATTTCCACTAAACTTGACAGAAAGCATAATTGTGGTTGGCAGTGTATTTCAATACATGAGATAACTGTTTCTGAATTATGCCTTTGGGTTACAAAATGTGCTCCTGAACTTTTTATAATTGGCTTTTAACCAAATATTGTGGATTTCTCGAGGGAGACAAAGAAAAATATCATAATGAATTGGTTTGTACTTCAGGTCAGACAGAACTGTGTCACACGATCTACTATCAATCGAATCGTGTATTTGAAGATCCTGGACAAAGAAAAGACATCACGCAATAAACTCCACTGGAAATTCTGTACATTATATAAAGACTCTCCAGAATAAACCGAAGCTATCTAAGGTTCAACAGCACGTCTGCATCTCATCCTGTCCTCTACAGTCCTATTTAGCCGGCTCCACGATTACGCATAGGCTCTCAGCTTCTCCCCACCCGATCTTCATATCACCACCCATGGATGCCCAATGTAGTGAGATAAAATTGTGATATTAAATTTACAGATAACTTAAATATCATTCTACCAAAGAGGGAAACAGCTTTAGAATCCACCGCATATGTTAATAATGACTGGAGAGCAAAGTTACTAGAACTGAAAGGTACAAGTCATCTGGTAGGAGGCCTTGGTCCTACATTTGTGTAGATTGATTACAAATATCAAACTAATTCCAGTCAACCACTGTGCATATCCTTGTCCATAGTGCACACTTCAATGATAAATTATAACCAAGATAGGAAAAGACAGTTGAATTGATTGCGAATGCGATACTATTGTGACGAGTGCTACTGACAGGATTTATCAGTAGTATGTAAAGGGACGTTCACGGCATAAAAACATCAAATAGCTGGGAGATACATTTGATTTCAGAGAAGGAAAATGATACAGAGTTGCGGAGATACATGGGAGACGCGAAAGGAACACAAGAAACGCAACATGAAGTCCAGGGAAATTAATCGAAATTAACATAACAGAGGTTTATATATAAAAAGGAACATCACTTGTTTTTGAAAATTTGTCCAATCATGAGTCATTCAACAAGTATCAACAAGTATAATAATCAAAATTTCACCTCGGACTTACAAATATTGGTCTACCTTTGTTAAACACTTTAAACAAAGTGTGTATATGTGTGTGGGTAAACAGTTGTAAGAAATTTTTTAAGGTCTCCATAAGAAGATATGGACAGTCGAGAATTTTGACCAAATATTAATAATTAGTGATACATATCCATTTTTTATTTATTAATAAGGATTTCCTATGCATCAGCTAGCATCACGCCTTCATATCTGTTCAAACTGTTAGTATCTAGAATGTTATGGTTAGACGTATTTTCAAAATTATGGTGTTTGGGATTAGAGTTTAGTAGAAGCACCCTGTCGGACTTATTGCTTTGTCTTCTTTCTGAAGATTGAGCTACTTTATTCGACCTATTGGAGTTGTCAGGTGACTCGACAGCTACGGATTTAGGATATGCATTCTGTTGCAGACAACGGAGAGTGAAAATACGATGATTGTGCCAATTACACAGTTTCTTTGTTAATTTAATTCGATTGCAAAATAATTCAAATGAACTGTCGTCAAGATTTGACAGAATAGTTCTAAAATATTTGGGCACCGAGTGAGAAGTAGACATTTGTAAAAAATATTTGTAAAATCTCAGCGAGATTGAAATGAGTAATTCCAACGTTTCGTTCGGCAATCTGGTCCGAACTTCTTCACTCGGCGCCCAAATATTTTAGAACTATTCTGTCAAATCTTGACGACAGTTCATTAGAAAAGTACATACTAATGACCAACCATATTTAAATAGGTCAAACAGTACATGGTAGGCGATGGTTGAAATCTATAGTATTTTGAGCACATAGGATGTATGTGATTTATCCAAAGTACTCCCATCACCTTTAATAACCTTGAATAAGGGTTATGTGAAATAATTGTGAATCAGTCATTAATATTGATTTTGTGACCTGACATTAGTAAGTGCTTTGCCATGGATGATGATGGATTTCTATTCAGATTAATTGCATTGGGATTTTCTATGTGCAATGTATTCATATTCCTAAATAGCTCCAGAAGCAAATAGAATCCCCAGAACCCATTAACGGTGAGAACATGAGACCTAGCTCCTCTATTGAGAAACATATTATAGAGACAGGACATAAAACTGATGTTTAGACATCGTAATCATATTAAACCTTCCTTGGTAAACTTTGTTTTGATACCACAGCAGATGTACTATTGTGGTGAGAGCTGTCTGCTAGCCAAAATTGGTAGACAGTAATTTACATCAATGTTTACGTCCCATATCTTGGTCATGAGAAAACGACAAGAACAAAGACTAACTCAACAAACAATCACAGCAGACTTTGTGTGGGCGGATACGAATCGCAGATATATGGTCTGACCATCAAAGAAACGGCCACAAAGAGATGACAGATTAACTTTCAGCGAGAAAACAAACACTCAGAAGACTCTATTTCTCTGCTAGTAATAACGAATAATAATGTACATAAAAATCTATAAATATTTGTTGATTTTCTCAATAAACGATCTGTTGCCTGACTCTTGTATTCTGTCGTTGCACTTTTGCCTCTGTTATTTGGTTTGGTGATCTCCATTGTTATTTTGATCTTCAATATGTCTTTTTAACTTAACCTAAATATATTTTCTTGCCTCTTTGCTCTTTATTAATTCCACATATATATTCCTATGACAAATCCGTGTGTGATTAGATTGTTAGAAATGTGTTGCGCAAATACATTACACGATTCGGACAAATTACGTCTTCTTGTTGCTTTGTCTAAATTCATAAAGGCAACTAATTGTTTCAAATAGAATAAAATAAAAACGTTACGTAAGATTGTGTGAAATTTGATAACATAGAATTTAAAGTTGCAAAACAGAATTGATTTGGAATGACAAAAGGGAACGAGTGAAATAATACAGTAAACAGTCCAAAGTGAGAATAGGAATAGTAACAACTGACGTAATATAGGAAGAGTATACAAAATGAATAAACAAAACGAAAAAATTGGTAGAGCCAAAATATGATTAGGGACTACCATACTTTAGCATAAAGGCACTAAGACCACGGAAGTTGGAGGGGCTGAACGGACTTTTTCTGTATACATAGATCTGGTTTTTCTGTTTCGATAGACAAAGCTTCAGCAATACCGATGAGTTGGGTATGTAGCGATTTGGGCAAATTACTTTTTGCCTTGTAGATGACTTTAAAGGCAGAGGCTGTAGAGATAAGGTGATCACTGTCGACCAGATGTTCAGTGATCGCGATTCTTATTGCTCCACTTCAACCTAGTCGCATCCATGCAGGATAGTATTCTTGAACCTCCTTGGACAAAGTTCGAGTCGAACGATCGATATAACTAGCTCCACACAAGCAGGTGAACTGATAAACGCCCATAGAGTTGGTCAACTGAGGGATTTTGTCCTTTAGGTTATTGAACAATAATGGTTGACTGAAAGACACTATTCTCAACGATGCTGTAGCGAGTTTCCTTTTCAGAGACTGTGAGATCTTTGTTTTGATGATATCGGAAGCTAAATCACCTTTGAATTCCAAGCTCATGTATGATATTTTCTTGGTTACGGATGATAAGTCACATTTCATAGGTTTTGACTGAATATTCTTGTTTATAAAACGTGGTGGAAATCCATTTTTTATTAGAGTTTTTCTCAAAAGATTTAACTCTTCTTCAACAGTAGCAGGACTATTTGATAAATTCGTTGGAAAGAGTTTCTTCGCTGAATCACTTGTTTTGACATTAATTTAAAAACTAACAATTAATTATGAAATGATGTGCATCTACTTAACTTTTCTTTTGATTATTTTATACAATTCAAGCTTTTTACAAGCAGGATGTGATGTCATTTTAACGAATACATTTTCTTCATCACCAGAAACCCCAAGTGCCGCTTTGAATATTACTGATACAGAAGCTGTAGAATTAATGCATCATTCTGTACGACTTGTACAACGTGCAGTTTCACTTTACTTTCCTTTTTAAATATAAGACAATAAACCTCAGAGTTGAATAAGAATGGGACATAAATGCAAGGTGCTACTGATAAACTGATGAGTAGTTGTTACATACCACTTACACCAACCAGTAGTGCTTCCTAGCCAGATAGGAGTGATATAAAAACACCAGACGGCCATCTCACCCGTTTGGGGATGAGTTCATCAGCCGTGTACCCAGTTTGACTGGTTGATGTGTTATCCTACTACTCATGTCCATCAATCAGTAGTATGTGGTAAAGTCGTACTATTTGCTGCGAGACCATTGTTGCTCTTTTTTCCTTCACGTTCCTCAGTGGAACATTGGGCTTCAAGCTAGTGGCTTGAAGTTTCTGTAGAAGTGTTTATTTTACAGGATGGTGTCGCTAGCCTCATGCCCAACCTTTCCTCTTCACCAGCATTATTTCTGGCTCAGAGAGGTAAAGGAGTGCGCCGGCCGGAGATCGAACCCCGGACCATGTGCATGGGTTGGCGAGCGTCCTAACCGCCATGCCACCGACTCATTGTTGCTCTATGAAGGTTGAATAAAAGGAAAAGAATAGCTTAAGGCGGTCTACTTAAATCACTGAGCTAGCGAAATTACTTTCCATTAAAATGCTTAATTTCATCTGGATTTATGATTGTTTTAATCGTCCAGTTATATCAAATGACCTATACATGAACTTGTGCGCTGATTTCACTTGTTTCCGAGTAAATCTTGTGCAATTTTTCAACGAATTGAAGATATACTTCAAATTATTACTTTACATGTAAGTCCTGTATGAAGAAAAAAGTATTTTGGAACTAAATACGCTGAAAAGTTTTGTGCCATATGTTCGCATAATGTCTGAGATAAAGCTTTATTATTATTATTATTATCATGAATTTATGCCTGTTTTGTCGATTGCCATTTATGGTATAAACCAGATAACACATATTGAGAGTAGGAAACTGCGATGAAATTTTACCTCGAAACCATGTAAATTGCACATGCATCGCGAACTTGATAGAACAGTTGGAAGATAAATTTCACTTATTGAAATCGGTAATAGGATCACTTCAAATCAGTGAGTACAAGACTGAGGATCTCACGCCATAACCACTGTACAACATTACCACCCTCACATCAAGCCGTTTAAGTAAATTTTAGCTAATATCTAACTTTCAAGCCATTCAAATTGAACTTAAAAGTCAAAAATAGGTGCATAATATAGGCTGCAATTCAATATCACAATTAATTAACTATAACCGTTTATAACAACTGCTCCGTAGTAAAATTATTTTCAAGTGCTGATTTGCAGGGATTTGATTGTTTACATGATTGATCACGAGCTATCATCAGTTAGAGAACCATTGGAAAACCAAGGAGTACTGGACAGTTAATTTGTAACCGGCGAGATTCCCCAAGTCAAACAGGATGACAGCCACTCGCGTGTGATACAAGCTGGTTGCGCTAAATATATATCACGAATTGGTAGAAGTTGAAATTCATGGGCCATTGCGTCGGGTCGCAGTGGCTGAATGGTCTACGAGCTCGCCTGGGTTCGAACCCTAATGGGTGAGTACCGCTGAAGGGTCCCAAGCTAGAACGAACCAGCTGTCCAGTACTCCCAGGTTTTCCAATGCTTCTCTACTGATGTCACCTCGTGATCCATCCTGTTAAATCACTTTTTTTAAACTGCGATTAGTTTGTTTTCTATTAAATAAGCAAAACGTATATACTGTAATGATATAAAAATTCAAATATCTCACTTTCTGTTAATCGAGGCGGAGGTAAATCGAATTTATTAAATTTTTCTGTAACATCTGGTGTACAATGTCGTTGAAAAAGTGTTGAAGGAAAATCGACTGGACCACTACCCCCACCACCACCACCAACACCACCAACACCACATCTTGCTAGATGAGCTACATTTGCTGGTAAAGTTGTTCCAGTAGGTAAGATTAAACCAGACTGAGAGTACATTCCTGAAGTACGATAATTGTTTTCAGTTCCATGAAAACTGGAATGAGTTAATTGACCACCACGAGATGTTGTACTTGTTAATGATAAAGGTGTTACACGACCAGATATATTTGCTGATGATAGTGGTAAATCAGACAGTGCATCTTCTTCATCTCTTGGATAACTAGATTGTTCATCAACTTGTGTACCGATTTGATCACTACCAATATCATGAGTACCATCTTGTGATTCTGAATTTTCTGGAATTGGATCAGGGATAACATCTTCACCTAGATGTACACCACATGATGAACATGTTAACAAACTGGATTGTTCATCAACTTCTCTAACATCAGCTGTATCATGTGATGAACTTTGAAATGAATGTAAAAAGGATGCGTTAAAATGACATGAAGATGAAGCAGTACTATGCTGTGACGTTGCAGCTCCTATCAATCCACTATCACTATCGCTATCATTTGATGCACTATCCACAGAGAAGCTAGAAGTACCTATTTTACAAGGAAGAAATAAAACAATAGCATAATATACGACCAAGTAATAAGTACTTTTATAAAATATATATTGACCAAAAGGGAGTGCATACTGCTCAACAGTCAACTCCATCCTCTTTTATGGCTGTGAGCGAGACATGGCCACTGAAGGCAGAAAACATGAAAAGGTTGTCTCTCTTTGATTATAGGTGTTTGCATTCCATCTCCCGTGCGAAGTGGTATAACAAGATGAGCAATATGGATGTTAGGTTTCGGTCGATTACTAGGAAAGGAGGGGAAGTCAATCGACGAGGTTGTGAAGCTATATCAATTGACATAGCCATCGCCTTCCTCGACGGTCAGTGTTAGCTGACATAGGATGGATCAGGTTGGAAAAGAGAAAGCTAGTGATGGTCAAACCAAAACATGGTCTCATCAGTCAATGAAATCCACAACAGTTAGTTTAAGCCAGTCAGCCAGCCACATAGGGAGATGTAGACTTCCTGACTGGTTGGGGTCATCGAGAAGGTAAAAATTAATGAAGGCTGGAGATATTTGGTGATATGGCTTAAACTCATCGTTCTCAATGGCTAGTGCAGATGGATCCGCTCCTTGTGACTTATAGTAACCAATAAAACTATGTGGTTCTTCGATATTACTATTCTTTTTGCCTCACATCTCTGTTTACTGTTTGTGTTTTGGATTTACTTTTTACTTTCTTCGCTTGCTTTGTGTGCTAAATGAAGTGTGGCAACTCAAACTGCTGCACATCGGTGCAAAGTCCTACGATGAAACCAGTCAGTCAGTCAGTGAATGAATGAAAAATTCAAAAGTTTTAATACAACAGATAAAGTACAGAGAAAAATGATACAACACTAGTGATGCGGAGGCCGAAAAGTTATTCTAGGGTTATTCTGGGTTCGAACCCCGGTGGGTGCGTACTGATGAAGAGTCCCAAACTAGGACGAAACAGCTGACCAGTACTTCCAGGTTTTCCAGTGGTTCTCTAACTAATGTCAGCTTATGATGAAATCCTCCGTCTTATTCTAACTCCTTTGTGTTCCGAGTGGAACATGGGACTTCACGCTTGACTTTTGAAGTTTCAGTGGCAGAGGGTCTTTTATATTTACAGGGTAGATTTGCTAGCCTCACACCCAACATCTCCTCTTTAGCGGATTTACTGTCGGCTAAGAGAGATTTAAGAGTGCTTTGGCAACCGGGGATGGAACCCTAAACCACATGGGCGGTTAGTAAGCATTCTACGCTGTACCACCGACGCACACAAGAGGAAAAGAGTATATATTATTGCAAGTGTGCTAACAACAAATATTTTATTTTATTTTGGTTACAGCTTGATGCCACACCGTATTTTCAGTACAAGTATGGCATTTTCAGCATGGATATCGGTAGCCCAAATTTTGCAGGCCGACCATAGATATCGCGTGTGCACCGGCAGGGGCTCGAACCTCGGACCATGTACATGGTCAGCGAGAGTCCTAACCACTGTGCCAACGACGCGACATGCATTTCAGATATTTGAACAACTTATCATAGCCCAACTTAACATCAGGTTTACAATAACTTACGTACGTAATAACGAGTTTCCTATTCTAGTGCTTAGTACAAAATGAAGACAGAATGAGAAAGTTAATTTATTGGAGCGGCAAATAGACTATCCCATACTTCAAGAAGAAAAAGAATAGTTCTCACTCTCTCACCAATTAAGGCCAAGATGTTTTGCAATAAAGCAAGAGTGTTACACTGTGAAAGTAGTGAGCGAAAATTCACGATTGAATAAGGGAAACGGAAGACAGTGACATCTATGCCGGTAACCGCCGTAAAAAAAAACAACTAAATTTCTTCACTTAACAAAATACAGGAAACAAAGTATTTCATGAGCAGTTTAAAACGGTGTCAGAAAGGAAACGTAAGAAACAGAAACTTTTCCCGACGTCAGAATGATTTTAACAATATGCGGCAAACACAAAATACTCATTAAACTAACTAATTCAAATGTAGACAAATATATAAACCGCTCACTTCACACTACATTTGTACATTTACAAGCACTTGTTGAGAGGCCGAAGAATTATAGGTAAATTAAAACGGAAATATCGATTGAATGTTGTTTAAGCACTTTGAAAAGTACAATCACTTCAGTTCCTTTCATCTAAGAAAAGCTTTTATTTTGACTTGACTAAATTGAAAGTATCATACATTAAAAACGCAATTTTGCTACCCTAGAAGACTAGCTACAATTATTTTATCTAAATATGAAATTATATATTATTTTGAAGAATATATACTACTATGTACTGTGAATATATTTCAGTAGCGTATTTCGTGGTCAAATTAAGAAAGTATTGTATTGATTAATGGTAACAGCAAACTTTGGTACTAAACTAAGTGGAATGTTAGGAAAGTTGATTGGATGCATCTTGCACGTTGCATATTCTTGTTGTTCAGCAACACTACAAAAATCTCTTTTAAATAGATTACCTTATCTTTCATGGCTAAATTTATCTATCACTGTGTCCTTGGTGGTGGTCATCATAGAACTGATTATGAATACCACCATTTTATACGACATCACAAACACTTATTTAACCAAAAACAACTCATAAGGGATTACAATTTGATACACTGAGCATCCTCCAGTCTTCCTCTGTTTGTAGATTGATATAAATCAAACAAGCTATCAACAGCGTGTCCAATTAAACTGATGGTTGCAAGATTATAACGCAATATCTACCTGAACTCTCGATATACATTTGAAAATAAAGGCCATACAGCGACCACATAAAAATTATATGCGCCAGCCCCAACAGGCTGATTGTTGACTAAATCTCAGCGCGGCTACAGAAGGTTCGTGTCGCACTTGCCAGTTTACGCCACCTATGGAGTAAATGTGATATCCGGCTATCGATCAAAGAACGTGTACTGCGCATTAGTTCCCTCTGTCCCCCTTTATGGCTGTGAGTGAGACATGGCCACTGAAAATAGAAGACAGGAAAAGGCTGTCTGTCTTTGACTACAGGTGTCTGTATTCTATCTCCCGTGTGAAGTGGTATAACAAGGTGAGCAATATTGAGGTTAGGCTTCGGTTGAGTGCTAGGTAAGGAGAGGAAGTCAATTGACGACTTTGTGAAGCTATGTCAATTGACATAGCTAGGACATGCGTCACTCATGCTATCGTAGCCATCGCCTTCCTCGACGGTCAGTGTTAGCTGACATAAAATGGATCAGGTTGGGAAAGAAAAAGTTAGTGGTGGTCAAAGCAACATTCTGTTTAATCTTCCTTTACGTGTTAAATGGAGTGTGGTCACTTGGAATACTGCACTTTTGTGCAAGGTTCTATGTTGCAACCAGTCAGTCAGCTATAAAATCATAAACAAGATTATGAATAATTCGTGGCTCTGAAAGTAAGACATCCCAATTGTAGTCATGACTCCATCTTTCCTCTAATTTACAAAGTTTTATCCTCACTTTTACGGTATCCTGAATTTATATAACATGACTTCTCATGAATACAGAGGAATACAATTTTGAATAATGACGTGCTGGCGAGAGGAACTGAAGTATTCATAGGCAAGCAGTTGTATGATAATAGAAATACATTAAAAGTCCAACAGATCGAATGTGTCCTAACGAAAATCAGTTAAACGATGACAGTCGGTGAAAAGGACAATATTTCAGAAAGCGACAAGCCATTGTCCTTCTTGATGACGTTTGGAGCAAATTGTTTGTCAAATAACTACCGATCAACAGTGAATCAAAACATACACTACCTGACATATGGAAATGGTGTAAAGTCAAAGGATTCCCAAAAACAGTGACAGCAAAATGCTCCCTTTAAAAACGGTCATTTTACGTATACAGCTAAACATATGAGTTCTAGGAACTTACCTGGACCTTCAATATCCTGATTCGAAGTGCTTGCACCAAGCTTCCTCGAGTGTCGATGTAGACGATGTATTGGCAATGAAGTATTGCTAGTGGTTCCACATAAAGATGTAAGAGACGAACAACGAAGTTGAACTGCTGTCTTTTTATTATTATGCTTAAGAGTACTCGATACAGGTATCTCAGAAACAAAGCCTAAATGAGATTTTTCAACAGGATCACATTTACTTGTTGTTTCATTTGATGAACGATCTAAACGGTTGATTAAATCAGATTGACTTAAATCAACTGAACTACATCTGACAACTGATGATGAAGCAGTGGGTTCACTATTACTATATCTTGTTTGCGGCACTTTAGATTGCATTAGGAACGAACGATTGGGTGTAAATGTAGCATTTCCAAATTCTCGTACTTCTGTAAAGGGTAAGAGAAAATTCAGATAATGTTATATGCAGATGGTATGATAATAAGTCACTTAATATCTACCCGATGAACAATCTTCACGGTCTCGCATAACAAATATCTTATATCAACACTTGCAATTCCACGCAGTCGACAAAGAGCCACACTTATTGTGTGGTGGCTTGTGGCACTGTTTGGCTGACTAAACCTCTGGAAATGAAGCCAGGTTTGAACCCATGACTCAATGGTTGGAAGTCGAGCACCGAAATCGATGAACCACAGCTCCACCTGACCTTTGATAAAGTAGTGGTTGATAAATTTGATATCCATATATCAAATATTTGATGTTTCATCTAAACCATTAATATACGATAAAACTATTAACAGTAAACAGGTACATCTTAAACTTTAAAAGCTCTTAGTAACAGGATTACTTCAGGTTGCCATATGCATATTCATCCGTGTTTATTATTCCCGTGAGACTGGTGTAAGTCGTTGATTACCCCGATATACATGAAGGGAGACAAGTCTTCCAGTGACTATCACAGGGGTTTGGCTGCACTACTATGGCATCTAAAGTTCTAAGCTCACTAATCATGCGTACACTAAGTGGGGCTCGGGGTAGATAACGACGAGGGAACCAGACAAGTCTTAGAACAAGAAGAGGATGTATTGACCATATATTCAACTCTAACACATTCCGGAACATAGACACACTTACCGTCAGTGTCCAACAATTGTCGTATTTCTTGACCTAAAGGCGGAATTCGATTCCGTCAACCGAGAGGTACTATGGCGATGCTTAGCTATAAAGGGAATGCCGAAAAAATACATCTCACTGATCAAGGCACTCTACTCACACTCATGCAGTCAGTCAGCCACGTGAGAGCCTACGGAGAGTTGTCATCTGTAGTTGTGATAACCGGTGGTGTCCGTCAGGGGGAGGCTGTCTCCATTTCTCTTCAATCTCATCATAGATGTACAATTGGAATTAACCCTAACTGCTGACTTCCTCAACTCACGGATTGACTTGTTACCACCAGGGAATAATCTTGGTGATATAGAATATGCAGGTGACATAGTTCTTCTAGGTGAAGAAGCGGACAGAATTCTGAGTCTTCTGAACGCCTTGAATGTTTGGCATGCGATTTTCTCCTAGTAGAATGGAATATGATGCTATCGGACTGGACTACATTGACTCCTAGCTTAAGGATAGGCAGGAGTGAAGTGGCAGAGCGTGTTAACCCCTTACTTATTTTAACTGTATAATAGAAGTCTAGTTTCAAATCAAAGTGCTCATGTGAAATGTAAACGGAAAGACTGATACATTTTGGAAGGTAATTACCAATCTATGATAGATATTCTTTGTATCATCATATACTTGGTATTAATTTGCTCATAGTATCTACCAGACGCCTAAATAAATTTCTGGCTCGTACTTTTCGATGGCGTATTTCGCAAATCTAGTTGTAACAGACTTAATATGTTGATATTTTGTTAGATCGATTGGTGCAAAAAATTATAGTAATCAGAATAGTGTTAGACATTAGTAAACGAATAACATGTGTGTCGATGGCTTTAATGGCAGAATGTTAGCTAACCAGCCTTATGATCGGTGTTCGATTCTCCCCCCCCCCGGCCCCGACTCACTTCTAAACTCCGACTAGTTTACTTACCGATGGTTAACTCTAAAAAAAGTGAAGGTTGGGTAAAGTTAGCAACCCTAATAAGAACATCACCACTGTTGTAACTTCAAAGCTTATAAAAGCTTGAAGTCCTATGTTCCATTGGGAACCTCAATAATGAAAACAAAAGGAGTCGCATGTGGAGATACAATGAAAACCAAGCTTAAACTAATGAATATTTCCAACCATTTCTAGCGAACGCGGTTACAATAAAATAAACACTGTCTGTAGGATGACAATGTTACTGCAGTACACATCAGAGACACAAGTGATGACATCTATTAATTTAACTCGAAAAAGTGAAAAATTACTGCCAGATTAGTCCAGACACCATTCTGTTTACTTTTATTATAGCTTGATTCCACTCAGTATTTTGGTACAAGTATGGAATTTTCAGCATGTGATATCCGTAGCCCATATTTAGAAGGCCGACCATTGATATCAGGTGTGCATCGGCCGGGGATCGAACCCTGGACCATGTGCATGGTCAGCGAGCGTCCTAACTTCTGTGCCACCGACTGGAGATAAGATCTTGACATTTGTTGGTCATCCAACCAGCACAGAACAGTAATTGTGCAGCGGTTGTACTACTAGGAGAATCGCATTATATACTATTAAATCAGACAACATCGGTAACATAATGCAGCGATACTTAAATGATGAAAATATCTGCGTATTAGGAAATATATATAGTATATAAATAACAATAGACACTTATCTGAAGTACACATGAATAGTTTCTCAACAATTACACTTAATAATACACAGGATATTGACTAAATACACATTTGCTAACTAGGCTATATGAAAGCACCTATGACACCTACTGTTATTATTGACACTTCTGAAATATCCAAACAAAGACTAGAGTAGACACTTTCACACCTATTATCCTCATTACCAGTCAGTCCAAAGACAAAATAAATAAGCTGCAGCTTTCAACAGTTAATTAGGTAAACTCATTGGTTAGTCTCTAGTGACCAATCAGAAGAGATTTATCGTATTCCAGGGTATGAGCTATACTTACAGTGTGACACCAGTCAGTTGCCCAAGCTGAAGTAGGTGGTGCGGGATTTGAATCGAGGACTCATTAGCTGAAAGTTGAGTGTTTAAGCAAATGAGCCACATTCACAGTAATCAATGTGAGTATCACGGTCCTACAGAAGGTCAATCGTGAGCTCAGTGGTAACGTCTCTGACTCCAATACTGGGTGACATGGGTTCAAATCTCAGAGGAGGCATCAGTCCCTTTGAGGCTGTAGATATGCCTTACTGATAGGTAGCAACTAGCAAAGAACTTAAGACCAAAGCTTCGAGTCGATTGCCCTAACCACTTAACAGTTATTTAAGAAGTGTCGAAATAATAGACTACTTCTATGCAAATATCTAACTATGAACTCAAATATAGCGTAGTGTAATATTCTCCCCTACAGTAAATGAACTCCCACTGAATTTCAAGAGGAACAACGCCAAAATGGAATAATCATCGGACCTACAGGCTATTTACGAATAAGATAGAAGTGCCATAGTTGGCATTACCAACCATAGGGCAGTAGAGGGGCAGAGACTGCTAGGAAGAAAAATTCGATTATTTTTCTTAGGAATAGCTTTTACCCTCTAATTTATATACCATTGGATTTCTCTCAACAAGACGAATCGATTGGTACCTGTCTCGTCCCTGTAGGCTTTACCGTTGCGAAATTATGGAATTTTTGATGTTCTGCTGGTTTTCTCCATTTTTTTTGCTTGATCCCGAGGCTGACCGGCAGCTTAACCGGACTTCTACTGGTATGACTGTGGCGACGGTATCAGTAGAAGATAACTTGGGTCGTCACACCGCTCCTTGAGTAGCTCCGTTGACAGTAGCAGCGGACGCCAACGAAATTTTTCAAACCTCACAACCTACTGATACATTGGCGACGGTATCAGTGGGGGCTGGACTCAGTCGCCATCATTCATCAATCCAAACCCATGAACCCAACAAATCCAAGAAATATCATGCCGGATCGGCCGCGGCCCGGATTAACAACGACCGCGCTTTCTGCTGCCGTGTCACAGGGCAGAAGTGATAAGTACACTACTGAGACACACCAGGCCGCGTGTGACCGGCCTCAAGCAGATGTCCCCTGGGCTCTGCGGTCACGCAACACTAACCTTTCTTCCATTTCAGGTACCCGAAGACGAAACTCAGGCGTGAGGCCAGCAACCCCACCCTGTAAACAAACCTGCTACAGAAACTTCACCATGAGCAATCTCCTTGCCATAGTAATAGGTAATGTCAAGAAATAAAAACTATGAGACAAGTATATAGTATTAAAGGGAAATACGTTACCTGAGTTACTAGGCAGGACTGAAATGGAAAATCTAGTACGCTTTTCAATCCCTCGAGACATTGAGCTACTTGCCACATATTGTGTAGTACGATCATTGATATTTCCACTCAGTGAATCACAGAAATCTTGTTTTGGAGAAGTTGGCGGTGAAGATGAAGAAATATGTGAAGAGGAATTGATTGAAGGACCAGAAGCTGAAGTAAAGTGAGAAAAGCCTTGATTCAATTGTATGCCATCTAGATTTTTATTGTGTAATGATTCACTGACAGATGTTGCTGTTTCAAGATGTTGTCGCCCAAAAGCATTAGCACTACTAGCTAAACTGGTACATCCACTGGGATCAGAGTTTTGAGAAGTAGTTTCGTCACTAGACCTTTGACTAGTTAGAAAATGATCTTGTGAAAAGTCATTCTTTGAATGACTGTCATTGTTTAAGCCACCGGTGGTGTTTACCAATGCAGGACACGGAGATTCAAAAACACTATGTTGTTCACTGCTAGCACTAAAATTTTTAAAAAAAATAATAATCAGTTTAAAAGATCAAAATGGAAAACGATGAAGAAATTAGCGTGATCCTAATATTACAAAAATGAACTCTGATAGAAATAGCTTCATGAACAACAGAAGAACAATCATAAAAGTAAATAGTATATCGTAAAACTTCACTAACAATTAATAGTATTTAACAGCAAATGGGATCAAAATTATGTATGTATGTATGTATGAATAGAAACCTTTCTTGTTATAGCTTCAGATACCACTCAATCGATAATATCCCACAGTTTTAATACATAAAAACTGAAGATATAGAAGTTATAGATCTCGGATCGTATTTCTCCAAAGTGTTGCTCAAGCGTGATAAAACGATACAGCGAAACAAATTAAGGTTAGGAGTACAGAGAAACTGTAAACTTGCATAGGGGTGTAGTACTCATTCGTCACAATAGGGTACACTACACAGGAACAATTCTGAAGGGAAATTATAGGCTATTCAAAAAAAGACATCCCAATACTTGATGAAGACTTTGGTTGTTTGTCTGAACTGTGTGGTAGAAGGCTTCCGCAAAAGGCAAGTAATTCACAAACGTCATTGACTATTTATTTATCCCATTCAGAGTTCTGTAATTTTAACTTATCTTTATTGTACTTTATTGTAACTTCATGTTGGCTAAAATATTATTTCCTTTCTGGTCTTTAATGTTCTTGTGTTGCTGTGACGTTTGACAGTTTCAACGCATACATTAGGTTAGCAAAAGGAATGATTTACGCCAAATAAAACACATGAGATTAAGTGCTTTCAAACATTTAATATCACTTTTTATGAAGAAGACGCTTGGTATACACGACATGATTCAAAATTAGTCACCAGGTACAATTATTAGCATATTATTATTGTTTCTTTAATTCCTAAAAGAACATAGGGCTTCAGCCGTGCGTCTCCAATGCGTTCGGTTCTCTGCTAGAGTCTTCACCTGGCTCTAAGTCTGCCCACACGCTTTCATCTCCTCTTCACATGACCTCCTCCAAGTCACCCTTGCACTGACGACCAACTCGCCACTTCCCCTTCGGGTTCCACTCGAGCAATGGCTTGTCTAGTGATGTCACTTGATGGTTTCCTCAGAGTATGGCCAGCCAATCCATCTCCATTTCTTCCTGCCTATTTGTTTCACAATCGGTTCCTGGTTGGTCCGCTCATCGCAAGAGATCTCCGTTGCTGATCTTTTCTGGCCATCTGATCTTGAGTATTGAGCGAAGACAACTGTTAATGAAGGTCTGTAGTTTGTTTGAGATGCTCTTTATGACGCGTCAAGTCTCTGATCCGTATAGTAGCACTGACTTCACATTGGAGTTGAAAATCCCGATCTTATTTTTGATGTTGAGTGCTGTTGACCTCCACACAGACTTGAGAGTAGTGAAAGCTTGTCTTGCTTTCCCAATCCTTCCTTTGATATCCTCGTCAGTTCCGCCTGTAGTTGAAACGATGCTTCCCAGGTAGGTAGGTGAAGGAGGTTGTTTCTTTCAGGTTCCTTCCATTTATGCTGATCGTTGTCTGTTGTTGTTCTTGTCCAGGAATCTTCATTACCTCTGTTTTCTCTATGTTCACCTGAAGGCCTATCTTCTCTGGATGCTTCTTCTGCTAACTTGTTACTTTTCGCCTGCATATCTTCCAGTTTGTGGGAAATCAGACATATATTATCGGCGAAGTCCAGATCCTCCAAGTTTTTTGTGTGTGTCCATTTTATGCCTGTCTCCTCATTGCCCGCTGTTTGTCGCATTATCCAGTCTACTGCAATCAGGAAAATCATTGGCGATAATAGGCAGCCAGCTTGTCTTACTCCTGTCCTCACTTTGAAGGGTTTCGTAAGTTTCCCGTTGTGGATTACTTGGCATGCAGCATTGTCGTATAGCTGTTGGATGAGATGTATTATTGTCGGTGGCACCCCGTAGTAGCGAAGTAGTTTCCAAATCACCTCTCGATCGACGCTGTCAGAGGCCTTTTCAAAGTCGATGAAGTTGAGATAGAGAGGTGACTGCCATTCCAGGCTTTGTTCAATGATGATCCGTAATGTGGCGATCTGATCAATGCATGACTTGTTTCTCCTGAATCCAGCCTGTTCCGGTCGAAGTTTTTCATCCAGAGCATGTTATTATTGTTATTACTATTCCCTTTGGTTCCAGTGGAATATAGGGCTTCAACACCATATCTCCATTTTACTTGGTCCTATTCAATCTTTTTTCAACTGGTTATACAATCGCCCATAAGTTTTCATTTCTTCCTCACTTGATCCTCTACATGTAACCCTCGGGCCAACGCCAGCTCGGGTTCCGCTCGACGGTCTGGAGCATGAAATCGCTAGGCAGTTTTGTTCAATCGATCTCCATGTCCATCAGCATATTTGTCGAACGATAGGTCTGTGCTCCTTTGTGACCATCTGATTTTAAGTATGCAACGAAGGCAGTTGTACAATTGGTCACTTCATTTCATTCACAAGATGAAATGCAAAGACAGATTTTCCAATAGCTTTTTTAATTCTTATTTTGCACTTTATAAGAACAGAATTGTCCTCTCTTCCTCTTGAAATACTCTCATGTCGCCACGCGTTCATAGCTTCTGCCAAGTAAGCCTTATTCACCGCCTCCATATACTGTGTGTGTTCCTCACAAAAGTGAAAGGTAGAATTCGAACGTCTGGCGCTTACAACCGGACTGGAAGACATCCACGTCTACCTAGGGGAGCTGAAAAACTCCTATTGCAAACTTATGGTGTATATAGGCGCCATAATCCAAACAAATCGGATGGCGTATGGACCTCTTTTAGCCACCAGAAACAATGGGAATGTAGCTGTACTGTCTTATGGATCGGACTTTGAGTCGAAGGCTCCGAAGTGGTCCATTAAAAGATAACCAACGGCCTCGGTATAGGCGCCCGGGCATCATCTCGGTTTTATTTGTAAGGCAAATCTCCTAGTGCCCACAATGTACCATGTTTGTGTTTAAAATATTTACATAATAATAAAAGAATAACTTACGTGACCTTTGCTGTTGTATGACTTTCATCGATGGAATGATGATGATGTTCACAGCTTGATCTACTCATCGATTCATCTGTGCCACTGATCACACTACCACTACCGCCAGCACAAGCACCCTCGAAACTACAATCACCAGGACTAATGCCATTCAGTTGACTTTTTATAATTACATTTGAATAATTGTGATTTATTGGAACACTATCACCATTATATGAACAAGTCGCTTCGACAACAGAATTATTCAATTTTTCATGATCATGATCATTTTTATTCGCGTTAACCACAAATCTCCATTTTCTATTCATTGCAGCGTCACGAAGTAAACTATCATGGTCATTATGACTACTATTATCATGATATGTAGAATTTAAATCGAATAAATAAACAATTTCTGAATTCTCGCTGTTATTAGACCGCATATCTTTTCTTCGATGGATAGAACTTTGTCCACTAGTAGTAGGAGTAGTAGTAACAGTAGCAGCAGCAACAGGAGCAACAGTAACAGCGACATTATTATTCAGTGTATGTATTTCTTCAGCATGACTAACAGATTTATGCTTCATGCTGAATAGACGATTCAATGAATGACTACGTTGTCTTTGTGGTGATAATGATGATGGTGCCTTGTTATTTGATCGACTAATTTCACGAGCTATTGTTTTAGCTACATTATTTTCTGATATATCAACCAACACAGCAGATATTGTATTCACATCTGAAATATATACACACATACATACATATGTAATCATTATTTCGTAGTAGAAGCAAGACGGATGAATAAATGAAAACTGACTGATTGGTTTCAACATAGCACTTCGCATTGATGCGCACCAGTTTGAGTTGCTACACCCTCCCTCCTTTTACCACACAAAGCAAGATTCGAAAGGGAGATAATACACAGACATATGAGGCAAAGAGAATAGTAATATAGAAAACAAGTAGATTTCTATTGAAAATTATAAATCACAAGGAGTGGATGCATCTGCACTAGTCATTGAGAACGATGAGTTTGGGCCATATCACCAATTGCCTCAAGCCTCCATTAGTTCTTACCACTCCGAAGACCCCAACCAGGAAGTCTACACCTCCCTATGTGGCTGGTTGGCTTAAACTAACTGTTGTGGATTTCATTGATTGATAAAGCCATGTTTTAATTTGACCACCACCACCCCTTTTCCAACCTGATCCTATATCCTGTGTCGGCTAACATTGACTGTTGAGAAAGGCGACGGCTAGGCATGCTTAACACATGTCCTAACCATCTCCGTCGATGTAACTTCATAACCTCGTCAACTGACTTCCCCTCCTTACCTAGTACTCGACCGAAGCCTAACATCAATATTACTCACCTTGTTATACCAATTAACATGGGAGATAGGACGCACACACCTACTATAAAAGACACGTAGCCGGCTTTTTCATGTCTTTCACTTCCAATAACCATGCCTTACAGCCATAAAGGAGGACGGAGCGGACTGCTGAGCAGTACGCACACCCTTTGGTCGATAGCCAACCGGATATCACCTCTACATCCGAGATGGAATAAGTTGGCATATGTCAAACGAGCCTTCTGTCTCCGTGCTGATATTTCGTCAGCGATCAACCCGCTGGCGTTGGATGATGCAAGTGAAGTGAAGTGGTCGACACACTCTACCACTTCACTCCTGTCTACCCTTAAGCTAGGAGTCGATGTAGTCCAGTCCGATGGAATCATATTCCATTCTACTAGGAGAAAATCTCATGTTTAAGGTGTTCAGAGGACTCTGGTAGATTTTGTCAGCGTTTTCACCTAGAAGGACTATATCGTCTGCACATTCTACGTCAAGATTATTCCCTGGTGGTAACAAGTCAATCCCTGAGTCGCTGAAGTCAGCTAGAGTTAACTCCACTAGTACATCTCTGATGAGATTGAACAGAAATTGGGACAGTAGGCATCACATCCGACGGACACTTCTAGTTGTTATCACCACAGATAACAACTCTTCGTAGGCTCTCACATGGCTGACTGACTGCAAGAGTGTGAGTAGAGTGCCTTGGTCAGTGCAGTGTATTTTCTCGGCACTCCCTTCACAGCCAGACATCGTCATAGTACTTCTCGGTCGACGGGATCGAATTCCGCTTTCAGGTCACGGAATATGATGATTGTTGGACACACACGCTAAGTGTGTCTATGTTCTAGAATCTGTCGAAAGGTGAAGATATGAATAATATGCCTTCTTCCTGGTCTGAAATCTGTCTAGTTCTCTCGTGGACCGCTTAGTGTACGCATGATTATTGAGCCCAGAACTTTAGATGCTATATTGTTCACGCTATTCCCCTGTGATTATCACAAGAAAACTTGTCTCTCTTCTTGTATATCGGAATAATCAATGACTTACACCAACCCGACGCGATTTCCTCTGATCTGAAGACGCTACCTAACACCTTAGTTAACGCAGACAGTAAACTGTCCCCACCGTCCTTAAGCACCTCTGGAGCCATTCTGTCAGGTCCTGCTGCTTTGCCTCGTTTCAGACTAGTGACAGCCTTAGTAACCTCAGTTAGGGACGGAGGACTTGTGTCTATATCCCATTCAGACAGGCGTTGCATGCTCAGTAGGTTGACCGTGGCTGTAGGCCAATTAAATTGCTCATCAAAGTGTTCTTTCCAACGCTCTAGTCGTCTATCCTGTGAGCTAATTATGGTGCCATTTACCTCAGAGATTGTTTCCATTATCGTTTGCTCTTTACCACCTGTTTCCCTGAGAAGTCTAAACAGCTGTCTGATGTTACCTAAAGCTGATACCTTTTCCATCTTTTTCGATATTGTCGCCCACTACTGTTCACGGTCGTTGCGAAGACTTCTTGTTAGTTTGCGTTTGAGCAGCTTTCGCTCCTCATCATATTCGGAGCTCACTGGAATCAGTTTTCTTGCCTTAATCAGTTCAGATGAATTAGTAAAAATCCGCTGGCTCTTACTAACTTTCGGCTTCAGCTTATTAACATCCTTTACAACTGTGTCTATAGCTAAGTGTATACTGTGCCGAATTTCCTCAGGAGGAATCTTGCGGTCGACTTCAGATACTCGTTTCGTTATTTCTTCTTTAAATAGGGACTAGGTGTCTTGATCTATTTGGAGGTGTAACTGCTTCGCTGCCAACAATAGATGACAAAGTTTTACAACTTTTAAACCAAACTAATGAATAGATCATTTCATTGAAATATAAGAATATTTATAGTGTAGGCTGTTACTACATTATTTGCTCACGTTACCCAACGTACATACATTAATCCGAAAACCATAGACTACACTAAGAACGAGTGGAATGAATATTAATCAGTTTAAAAACCCCATCAATCATCACCCAACATATAAAAGCAACAGTCTAAGCAGTAATAAAAATTTAAGAGAAAAGAATGTTCAGTTTTACCTTAGTAAAGCACACTTTTCAATTCATATAGAGAAATGTAGTAATCGAGAGAAATATGTGAATTTACAACCCCGAACCGTGTCACATGTATCATTTGAAATGACCAAGGATATTATTTAGTGACAGACAGATATTCTACTGCCGACCACTGGACAGTGATTTTGATGCCATATTGTGGCGAGTGCTACTGATAAGATTTATCAGTAGTATGTAAACGGACGTTCATCGGCATAAAAACATCATTAAATAGCAAGGAAGTACATTTGATTTCAGAGAAGGCAAATGATGATACAGATTTGTGGAGATACATGGGAGACATGAAAGGAACACAAAGAAACACAAGACTAGGTTCAGAAGTACCACAACACGAAGATCTGTGCAAATGGTACGTTGGAGATAAGATATACATGATCTGGCTATGCAGAGATACCAACTTCCAAACAAACATTCCTTTACCAAGTCTTTCGTCTTCTACCATTTCAATATCCATAAAAACCCATTGTAATACATACAGAATAGGATTATTATGATTACTCTAGAAAGAATGATTACATAACCTGATTTTTTCTTCCATCTTATATTGGTAATAATTTACAACAATTCACATCAAAAATACTGATACGCGCTAGAAATATGAAAACAGTAACTCAATTAAGACGAGACAAGTGGATTCCAGCCCAAATAGCTGAGTGGTCAACGTTCTCGGCCTCGTGACCTGAAGCTCCTAGGTTCGATCTTCGATAGGGTCGTGAGGACTTACTGCTGAAGATTCCCAAATTAGAATGGAACAAGCGTGTAGTGCTTAATTATCTGTGTTAGATTTTTCATTTACCAGACTAATAGCCACACACACACACACATAAGATAGAATAATAGTCTGCTAGCTTTGATTATCGTTTAACTACTTATAAAAATGTATGATCGATAAGAATATGACATTAAATAATTCAATAGTGTGTTTGTGGATTTACGATCAATAGAATTATAAGTTTCAAGAAGTGAATTGTAATCAGTAGTAGTATCGGAGAAAGTATGAACAACACAAATGCAGCTTACTGCAAGTAATTTCAAAAGATGACAAATAAAGATCACAGTAAAATAATAATAATAATGTGGTATAAACAGAGTGATGATTATAGCGAACGATTAGAATTTTATATGCTAGAAAGAAAAGGATTGTATGCATACAATATTGAATGTGAAAAGGATTACGTAAACCTAAGCAAATAACTAACGGTAATAGACTAAATAAGAAAGCTTATGAAACTGTGAACGTCTGCAATAAATGCTTGTCAGTAAACCAAGAGAAGCGAGAAAAAAACGAGACAGGAATTTAATGTGTTAATTATGAATCTTTATTGAGGTTATATTGACCTTACTGCGAGCCGAGGTAAACAAAGTAATTAGCCTTCTGGTATTGATTACTACAACTTTAGCTACCGATCGAAGTGACCGAATTTCTCCTGATAGGTAACTAGGATTCTGGTAAATTACTAAAAACACCCGTTGTGGTTTAACTTAATGCCCACTATCCATCCACCAAGTGAGATGACACTGTGCTAGTTACCTTCTCAACCAATCATATCGGTACATGTTTACGCGGGGGAATAGATAAAGCCCAATGAACACGGGCTGTGTAACTAGTTTCACAAAAGGGGCTGAGGTCAAATGCAAATTGATGAGGCCGTCATCGCCGGCAATTCATCCTTGACTCATTGAGGTAGTAATGATTTGCTTGAAAGGACGTGGGTTCGTAACCTACCTCCATCAAGAATGCGTTGGTAGTCAAGTGACAAGGTGATCGCCAACCACGTAGGAAGTTCGGGTTTGATTTCCAACCGACTCATGCCTAAACCTCACCTACTTTACTATCCGGTAGTAAGACAGGAAAAAAAGTAAGAGAGATTTAAGAGGGCGTTTGCGGCAGAGGATCAAACCTCAGACTACATGGGTGGTTGGCAAATATTCTACAACTGAATTATCGACGCAGAGTCTGACATATAATGTTTTTGATTTGCGTTATCCATTAGTATTCCATCTCTAGATCTCGACATTAACTTTGTTTAGAAGTTCTCCCGATCGTTGTTTACTTGCAATGTAAGTTTCAGTTTACACATTTTTTCATATATTCAGTAGTCAGAATATGTATTTCTTATTATGTGGCTAAGGCACCATTAAGTTTTGTTTATAGTAGTGTGTACTTTCTGCTTTGAATCACCACTACTCAAAGTTCAAATAAGTAAATCCGTTTGTGTACTTAGTAAGTAACCGTAATACAAGTGAAATTGAGGCTGCAGGCGCAACAACTCTGTATGTCTATCGTTATCCAAAAGGTGCCATCCCACCACCGAACTCTCTGATCTACTTTTTCTTTTCCACGGTTAAAAAGGTTTCTTTAGATTACTTTATTATTGGTTATTATTTCCTTGTGTTCCGAGGGGAACACAGGGGTTCAACAGTAGATCACTATTTGACCTTGTTCTCTGCGGTCCTCTTTGGCTGGCTCCACGACTACCCGCAAGCTGTGATCCTCTTCATGTGACCGTTACATGCCCAACTCGTTGTCTGCAATCGACTTCCACTTGAGGGCCTGATGCGTGACCTCACTTAACGGTCTCCTCAGTGTGCATCTAATCCATCTCCATTTTCCTCAGCATATGTGTTGAGCATTAAATTCTTGGTTAGTTCGTTCCCAGAGCTCCTTACTGACAATGCTTTCAATATGGAGCGAAGGCAACTGTTGATAAAAGTCTTCAGTAGACTGTTGAAAATGCTTTTGGTGATACGCCAAGTCTTTGAAGAATATACAAGAACTGACTTGACATTACTCACTTTTTTCTCTTGTTCTGTGAAGCATGATAACTTGGCAAGTTATACGGAAATTTCTCATGTACTATTCGTAATCTCTACCTACTTCAAGTCTACTTCTTAGGGGCTTAAACAGATGATTAAATCACTTAGGTACTGTACAGAACGACCTAATTTTTGTTACTTCGGTTTATTATGCATATAATACTGTGTGAGACTTGAAACTACGAAATATATACATCACAAAAATGTGACAAACTGCATTTTTGTAGTTAAAATGAATTTTTTTTTAAAGTAACATGGAGAAAAACCTACCTGAATCTGATGCCTTCAAAGTATTATCAAAAGACTGTTTCACTCCAATCGTAGCACCAGGTACTTGAGAGGGTAAACGATCGACCAATTTAAGAAGTGGATCAGAATTCGGTTTTGTTTTCAAAAGAATACGAATACAACCAATCTATAATGAAAAAGTAATGAAAAAAAAAATGAAAAGAACATGTCAGTGAAACGGACACTTTAGAGTAAATAATGTATGTAAATAACACTGTTATTAATTCTCTCTACTTTCAACAGTTGAAAGAAAGACTCCATGCAATAGTTATCGAAATATATTTCTCAAATGAATCTCAATCTACATAATATTCAAATCCGTATTATGATATGATTATGAACAATAAATTGTGCTCAAAACGTCATCAGTAAACATTACTGTATAACACTGTGAGACTTTATCAAAACAAAATTTACCCATAATGGAATCCGTATTAACTAGTTACATAATTCACGATGTAGTGTTTTGGTTGTTATGGATACTTATATTTTCAGTGATGACCACAAACTAGCCATCTGTAACTCAAGTAAATAATTTTTACAAATCTATTGATCCAAGATAGTCACTTGCTCTCAGATTTAACTCATTTCCCTGACAGCTTTGTTTGATAAGTTAGTATGGTAATTTTTACGGCAGACACTTTAAAACTACTGTAGTGCTGGTTATAATAATAGGCATAAATGGCATATAGTACGTCTGTTGAAAAAAAACTTATATGTAACTAGAAGAGCTTCCATAGAAGAAACACAGGATAGAGTAGGGATTATAAAGAGAACCTAATAAGGGACAGACAATGAAGAACAAAACATCCGCAGGACAGAATACTTGATAATGTTTGCGAATAATGCAATAAATGAAAAATTTATTATTTTATCAATGTCCATTGTAGTTTTTCTCCTAATAAACATTGTATCTACCCTTAAAAGGCTTGTTCTACTCATTACCATCAACAAAACTTCTTAAATGTTTTTTGGTTGATCGGTGATGGGCAGTGGAATCCAGGGTGCACAGTCCGCCTTATTTGAGACTCGTCAACTCACTAAGTGAAGTTGTCCCACTGAGACTCGAACCTAACACCCATAATTTCAAATGCCAAAGGAGAATATACGAGGTCATTTGGGACATAAGAACCACCTGTTGTGCAATGGTTATCAGTTGCCATTTGTTTAAGTTAATTTTGCATTCCCCGTTAATTGGTTACTTTGGATCGAAACGTTTAGTCTCAGTTGACATCATGTCAATCCTCAGACATCGTCGAAGTGTCTGTACTAAGAACCTATATGTCAACGGAGACCAAACATTCCGGTGCAATACAGACTATTAACGGTAAACATAAGGTTAACTTAAATACTTTAAATTTAAGTGGTTATTGCCAGTTCGCATTGTCAGAAATTATATTCAGTCACAAAAAACTTAAGGTTCAAATATCAAGAGAAAAAACTGATCCACTAACGAGATAGGTTCACTATATTACTGTTCCACGAAAGGGAGTATACAAATCTTTAGACAAACTCATGAAAGTTTAGCTCAATCAAAGGACGTCTCCCTCGAAAAACAACTTTTTTTCGGGAGCAGACATTAGGTTACAATAGACAAGAAGCCCTGAACCCAAGCTCATTGAATGTCTGTACTCAACAGAAAACTGTATCCTCAGTCGTGAAGATATCCATGTTCACTTGAAAATAAGAACCTGGGTTACAATGCTGAAGTCAGAAACTTTACTACTTTCACTTAGTTCACAATTTTCTATAGATTGTTCACAGGATGATAAGCAATTCGCGTTAATTAATTAAAAATGGGTGAAACGAAGTTGAGCATTTACTCTCAAATAGAACACGAGTAAAGATTACAAAAAGCATAATCGCCTCTACGATAAGAAACCTTTAACCTAAATTTTTTTATTCCTTCACGTTCCCAGTGGAACATAGGGCTTCAAGCTACAAGCTTGAAGTTTCTGTAGCAGTGTTTATTTTTATAGGATGGGGTTGCTAGCCTCATGCCCAACCTTTACTCTTCACCAGCCTTTAGTTCTGGCTTAGCGAGGTAAAGGAGTGCGCCGGCCGGAGATCGAACCCCGAACCATGTGCATGGTCTGCACTATGGCGAGAATATGGATTGTTGTACTGATTGGTAAATATCCCTACATTCGTACGTCTTTCAGTCTGTTCGTGACACAAAGAGTCATTTGGGTTTGTTTGTTTCTTTGACTTCTATTCTAGTATACAAGTGCACATGATAATCTGATTTATCATTCCAATTCTATTAGTTGTTCCTATTTAGCTGACAATGTCTAAATGTAGTTTTATCAATGCTGTATATCTGAGTTTGATTCATAAATATATAAACTAAAACTACATTGTGGATTTACACACAATGCGTCTAATAGTAGAGTACTATTACTACTAAACGTTTGATGGAATGTCTAAATTCCGTTTATTGTAATAGCACAACACTACTAATATTGCAATCCTTCATGTTAGTCTGTGATGCTGTGTAAAAGGTGTAGTTAACATTTAATTAAATTCGAAAACTGTATATAAATACAGCCATCTGATGAGTAACAGGAAGTAAGAAACTTAGATTATCAGGTTCTTGTAGATGTACTTTTCTAACACCTGGAACAATAAATACTACACAAAGGCATTCAGGCAAGAGAGTGAATAATAAGCTTCGAAGTTAAACGATTAGAATTACATGAAGAAGTTGGACAATACTTAAAGGATACAAATAAGGTCATTGAAAAAAAAACGACAAAATAAGTGTGCTTTTTTAAAAAAAACTTCATCTATAAAAATAATCCATTCATGTGATTCACCTTCCTATTCTCTGCTTCTTTACACAAGCGTCTCAGTATTAATTAGAATAATGAATAAAAAAACACTTCAAAAAAAAATACTAAATAGTAACAAAATTGAAACGTCATTGTATATTTAACTACATGCTATAAATAACTCTGGTATTAATTAGTATAAGAATACAAGTAACAAAAAAAGAAGGAGAAACTGAAGCTCACTAGTCAAATAAAGAATAGAATACCTATCGAGGTATTGAACTACGAAGACTAGTAATGTCTAAGCTTAATTTGTCTAGTAATTATCATAATAGTTTATTAGCTTTGTATTATCAGTTCACCTAAGAGTTACAACAAATGCAGAAAGTTATTTTTATAAGTTCACAATGTCCTTAACTGAAAGTAAAATATGAGCAAAAACCTTAGAAGTAACTGGATTTATTTAAAGCAATGAGGTTCAACTATCTCTATTTTTCCTTTCCACAAACCTACCGAAAAATGATGAACTCTTCAAAACACATGTAATGATGCAATGGTGCACTACATCTATGTGTAGACTAGACTGGATTTGTTGATTTAAAAGCCTGTTCCTTAAAGCTTTGTAGCATCAAAACTTTCGTGATATGATGGAAAGTCTACGAAAAGTGTTCTGCTAACGATTATATAGTATGCTGTAGTGATAAGAAGACTAATAAAGTTAGAAATAACACATTTTTTAAAATCCACATATATCATTATTCTACTGAGAAAAGTATTTGTGAAATTCTCTGTTAGAAAGAATGTAATACCAATCATCACCATGACGAGAAATATCGGGAATTCCCACATGGTTCACTAGACGTAACCTAACATTCAAACATTGAGTGAAGTGCTCGTGGAACATATACAGTGAAAATCTGATAGACCTGATGAAAATTTTTATGTAGGTAAGTAAATTGGAAGGGAAATAGTGAGTTCAATCTAAGCAGTTAATTTAAGTTGACAGCTTGTTTAAATTCTACATACACACACAAAAATGTAGGAATTCAATCAATGAGAACTATCTTAAGTTATTTGAAACATAATTAGGCTCACAATCACGGATTTCCACAATTCATGCGCACCTATTATATGATGATAGTAGTGAACAGTATAGCATCAGTAAATACTTCATAATCGTGATATATGAAATAGCTTAAGGATGTTTACAGAGAGATACAAACAAATTACACAGCTTTAAACTCAACAGTGAACAGATGGGAAGTGTAGGAGAAAAACTCTCTAGTAGTAGTAAATTACTTACCAAAATATTCAAATCATTAGAAGTTACGGAAATGACACCATCGTTAAATGAACTCGTTGAAATGTCGTCATTTAACTCATCAAACTGAGAAATATTCTTATTGAGTGACACATTCTCAGATTGCTCTCCTAGCAAACTACCCGAAAAAGACATGGAATCAGCAGCACCAAATATGAACTTGGTGAATGTTTTTATCTGTTCAACTTTAATCTGTGCACAATCATCGCATTTACTTGTTGAGCTTTTTTGACTAGTTACAATATTGGATAACACAGAGTTATCACCCTCGAGAAGTAATGAAGGAAAAATCTAAAATCAAATAAAACAAAATCGAATTATGCAAGAATATGTTTTGAAAACTTAAAAATAAGCTGTGGCAAATGCATAAAATAAAACGGTTCAGAGGAAACAGATACATCATAAATTTTCATGATAATTGACCTTTCCATAATCAAATTTCGCTTCACAGCAGGATCACTTCTTATTTCTACTATGTTATATTGACAGTTCCTATATAAGACTTTTACTGCTTTAGTTCTTTTAAGTAATATGCTTTTTTATGTAAAAACACATACGGCGTGTAAAACTAATGCTGCGATACAAAGAAGAATCGTGAAACACATGAGCACAGTTAGCGGGATGTACACTAGTCTTTATTTCTTAAATGAAGTCTGTCATAAAAAGCAACAGAATATTTAAACATATATGCTCATAACTGACTCAGATTAAATTGTTGATTTAACAAGAGTGACGAATGCTCTTAAAATGATATTCTTATTACAGAAAGGTGACATTGAAATAAACAGCCTGTACAAAGTATGCACTTCGCTTAGTGTCAACGCTTTCTGGATACGGAGCTTTTTCAGTACAATTTTTCTGACGCTATCAAATAACGATGACCATTTTTTGCAAAGATAACCAGGTACCAGGATATTTCAACATAATTATTAGCAATCACACTCTACGATTTCGCTACTGCAATCTGAAAAGCATGGTCGATGGGGTTTTTTTGAAGTTTTTGCTCTTGTCGTCAACGTGCAAAGTTTTGTACAGTCACATTGGTAGAAATCTTTAATACAGTGTCGATGCAGAAAGACAGCTAACTAAGTATCATTGTTATTGAGTATCACTTTTAGCTTCACTCCAAAATCACACCATGAAGACGCCTGATAATGCCAAGGGCATAAGTGGATTACTATAGGATGAAACATCACTGGAACGCGTTATAGAGTAAAGATTGAAATATGCATGTTTTTGCACCTCAGTAGACGTGAAACTGTATATCTGAAAAGCCTTCATATTGAATTTAATAATGAGAACTCCATGTCTCTTACTGAATACAAACTAGACTGATATACCAAAGCATGATACAGATTTTCAACTTGCTGGAATATCTGGATCAATATGGAAACAGCCCTAAAGGTATTTAGCAAAATGAAAGCAGAAACCAAAATGCACTGAATCTCCGAAACTTCCACAGAATGACAGTAGACAAACCACTTTGATTGGGCTTAAAATCACTGGGAAACAAAAATCTGTATTCTCGGTTTGATTAGAAACTCTACCTGGAGTGATAGGAGATGACTGAAGTGAAATGGATGAAAAAAATATGTATAGTGATCGGAAGCCAATTAAACTTGATGAAAGGAATCACTCAATGGGAGGTATGCTTATTAATATTACCACTAGGAATGCAGGCTTCAAATAAACTGTCGAGACACCAACACATCATCTAGCCCAAAACTGCACTCTCATTTCTGATCATTAACTGTCCACCCTAATGGGATAAACATGTTTTACAGCTCATCAGCTGAGCAGATTGTCTCAAGATTAGGATCAAAAGCACTCACTGGTGGTGATCAAAAATCGCTAATAAGATCACTTACGCTAAAAGTCAATGTTCGGTGACTGTTCCAATTCATAGGCTAAAACATGTTTCTGGGATTACAAAGGATACTTAGGCTCAACTAACACGCTTTTGATAAAATTTGAGTCCTATAGTTATCAAATGCTTGATTACACTTCAGAAAAATGAAAAACTATAGCGTGAGATTCGAGCAAGATGTACCGACTACATTATCGCTTTGAAATATACTCCAAAACAGAAAGCTACTATTGTTTGACGTTCCTCACATTTTCTAGCTTAACAACAGTATTCACCTTTATTAGTCCAGTTTTTGGTAGCGTCTGACTGAAAAGAATGCTAAGATAAAGTATCACGAATATCTAGTCTTCTCACTTCATTTAGGGGCTATATATAACACGCCTGAGAAGACGATCGCAAAAGCACGTGAAAAATTAGTAATAATCTATGAGCACTGAGATGGTCTCTTAGGAGATATTTAATGCACACTATTGGAGTTCCAGACTGTGACAAAACGAAGTCCCAGTTTTTCCAGTTTTCATGTTTCCTTGACTGAAATCAACTCAGTGCATAGACTATATCGCAATCAAACGCATCTTCATACACCCTTTAACCCTGGACATTCATTTATTAGATAAGATTACAATAATGGGGAATCTCAAAATCATTTAAATTTTTAATTAGACAGTTTATTAATAAACCATTGTGCAAAAAATGCCTCTTTATCTACCTGCGATGAGCTCATTTACCCATATTTACTAAAAATCCTTCAACTCTTAAGCCTCCAGAATAAATATCACACTAATTTGCATGAACAAATGAAACGTACTTCAACTGTTTCTTTTAGAACCCGGAATATCCTGCGAAATGGAATAACATCAAGGGTGATATTGAATAGTTCAGGCTCACCAAAAGCAGACCCAATGAAATCCTTGAAGACAAATTGTACACAGGCACACAAAATATTTTCTTGTGGTAGTTTGGCATTAGACCAAATATGACGTATATTGCCCAGTAGAACAAGAACTGATTGAGGAAACAGTAGCATGTTATCTGTCAAACTATCAATAATGATATTGACAAGAATGGCAAAAAAACTTGGAACTGAGGAATCAGTGTTAGTTTTCATTTTCTCTCGAGAGGATTCGAGAATATTAAACGGTAAGCACGGATCATTGTTGGTAAGCCTGAAGATTATGTTTTGCAGTAGTGAATTTAAAAACGACCGAACCCCAGTGGAACAAAATATGAATAAATGTACTAAGTTTAAAATCTCTGACTTGGAGTAAACTGCACATTTCACAACATTTAGGCACTGCTGCAGATAGTGAGCAATTGCGAGTTGAACCAATTGGTTGCATGAGTTCAGGGGATAAGTGCAAGTAACCAAGCAAACAGAACGCGCGATATGTTCTAAGATCTGAATGTTTAATTTGTAATAATGCAACAATTCAGCAATAAGCAGAGGGTTTTTCTCCAATAATCTAAAGAACTCAATATAATTACGTTGCATTGAACTAGTGGGCATCTTGAATTTAAAGTATCCCAGTGAGAAATACCGAACTCCACGATGATTCACTGTGTGAGCGGAAGATACTTTATGAAAAAGAATTTTTGTCCTCAAGTGATGGTAAAACCAGCTCAATTTACGTAAACTATCGTGAAGTTCATCTGTTTCTGCCTTGACAATCTTAATAGCCTCATATTGATGGTCATAAAAGCTATTATCTTTGTTGATATCCACAATTATGGATATCAGATCATTAAAGAACCTCCCAACCATGCTGTCTATCGACAAACGAATGAACGCATCACTACAGACAGCTGCAACGCAAACACTCCTATAAACCGCCCATTGGATAGCCTTCTTCAAAGAGATAAAAGCAATAATGCTGTCCGCGCTTTGGAAATCCGGAAACATTCGTATCTGTAGCTATTGTAAGAATTCACTCACTTCAGAAGCAGAGCGCGTGGTAGTAAACAAGGATAATATTGTGAGATGTTGGACAATCCGAAGGTTAAAATTTGGTAAAAAAATAACCACCTCAACCAGTAACTTCGCACCATTAAATGTCATTTGGAAAATAAAAATGGCAACTGTATTCTCCATACAAGATTGCTCGTACAGGTGTCGACAGGAATTAGCTGATATATTAAATCTCAAATACTAAACTCCAGGTTGAAGGGTCTAATAGGTTTTCCATTGAGTCCTTATTTCTGCTGTTTAGGTAAATATAGGATAAACCCATGCTGGGGACTATTTCGGAGCCGCGTATTCTTGTGAAAGTTTTAACGACCACTTATTCATCTAAATTTTATTGAACGGAAATATTCCTATTAATCTGAGCAGAAGAAAGACAATTAAAATAGGCTTTCATTTCCACTGCTTAATCTTATTAATCTGTTTTGACCACTCCACGAAGCTATTCACAATTTGACTACCGCTGAATGCATAGTATGAGGACCTACAAAGTAAAGTTGGATGGACAAAAGTGACCTGTGGTATGAAAATATTGATTGTGCAATAGTGCTCAAACTTTGTAACGGCATCCATTAATCTGATTCGAGAATGTTGATTACTTGTGGGAGGACAACAAACGTTATGGAGGTGAAAAGCCGTGCATTGTCAAAAATTCTTCCAACTGCTTATCTGCCGATTTGTTGGACGGTACTGTTTAATTGCCCAAACAGCGATATGGTTTGGAAGTATTTTTTTAGTGGAAAACAGAATAGCCTACAAAGGAATCCCATTGATTGATTTGGACGAAGTGAGAACAAACATTTTTATTTTGATTAGAGCTTGATTCCACACCGTATTTTTGGTACAAGTATGGAATTTTCAGCATGTGATATCGGTAGCCCGAATTTAGCAGGCCGACCATTGATATCGGGTGTGCGTTGGCAGGGGATTGAACTCCGGACCATGTACATGGTCGGTGACAGTCCTAACCACTGTGCCACCAACTCACATACTTGCAGGTTGAAAAAGCTCTTTATACAGAAGGATAGTAAACCTGCCCTCTAGTCACCCTGGTAACTACACGTTTATTTTCTGTTTTTGCGCTTTATATTAGAACACAAATCTTTATCACAGCTAACTGAGCTGAACCTATAAATAATCTTCCGATTTTTTTAGATGCTCGTTACGTATTCATTTTACCCTTGCTTACCGTATCTTTTTACCTCCATCCCCTCCACTGTAACTTTCCATCATATAATGCATAAATAAACTTTGTTTAGTACGAAACTGTCTAGTATTCACACCTCTTGTTCCACAATGATGTCCTTAGCGTTGAATTAATTTTCTTGGTATGTTAACACTTACATTAATGATAACTTTTCATTTTGAGGCGGTCGGCAGTTGACCCAAAGCTGTTGAAAAGAGTTCTTTTTAGTCTGAATATATGTTTGTCCCCAATTTGTTCAAAAATAAGATAAAAGATTTGCCGCTACGAGGTTTAGTGTTATTATATATTCTCACCATCTGATCCACCTAAATTGGTTTAAGAACAGATGTAGGCGTAACTGGAGACAAACTGGTAACCATTTTAATGTGGGCCTTAGTCCTAATAGCATTACAAGCACTTAGTCTTCTAGGAAATTAATGGTGCCACTGCTGTCTGTAAGTTGACCTTCCCGCAGGCGTGTAAAGTGTCGAATGAATAGCGGCGTTGATATGGCATATCCCCTGTCTGAAGTGGCGCCTGCAGCTTTACCTTGAGGACATCTGCGCGGTCTAGTTGGTTTGAGTTTGATTGATTTGTTTCGTTTGATCTAGGTAGCTGCATTTGACATGATTCTTGTTTTTATTTGGCTTGAAATGTGTTGATTTTGTTAAGAATAGTCGTCAAAAGGTGTCTCTAGGCCTGAAGGCATTTATCGTGCAGGAGGATGCTTGAGAATGTGTTTCATTTAAAAATTATAGGTATGTAGTACATGGTGGAAACACCCACGGGCGCATATCTAGTCTTTGAAGCAGCTGAAGCAAACTGGCACACTCTGAGGATCCACATTAGCTCAGAAGGTTGTTGGTAGCCACATGCAAGTCTACCTGGTCTCTTGACAAACAACGAAATGAAAAGAATTCACATGACTTGAAACTCGTGACACTTGTGCATACTCGTGTAAACCATCTGTGTAAATGCAGGAAAAGCAGTGTATACTTAACATATATGTATGATAGAAAAGTCACATATACAGTGTACAACACTCCAAATGTAATCTGGATGCGATACATCTGAGGCTCAAAAGGTTGTCGTAATGTTAGAAATCCCGAGAAATCCACTAAGCACACTTGGTACATGCACAAGTTTAGGTCAAATAAAGATCCCTACCCCCGTTTCTAGCTTAACTAAAAATAAAAATGACTTAGCCAATAGCACATCCAGTACTCCAACGCTCAATTCTTCACCGAAAACAGCACACACCAACTCGATAGACATAGGTGAACATGATGCTGAAACTCCTTTTAACATAGGGTCGCCATGTCAAACAGTACTACTGGGTGCTGAACCACATTCGGGGCTGATTAACGAACTTAAGTACTTCAAATGCTATTTCAAATCTCATCTTTACCTAATCCTCATAAATGCTAGATCCGTTCTAAATAAACTACCGATGCTCAGAGCACTCACAGTAATATACAAACCCCCTATAATTGTCATCACTGAATCCTGGTGTAACTCGAACATACTGGATGAAGAGATAAGCTTAGATAACTATACACACTTTCGGTGTGACAGGGAAGGTGGTAAGGGAGGGGGTTGTCTTATGTACTTTCTGAATGCACTTACTGTATCACAGCTAGAAAGTAGTACACTTAACATGCCTGAGACTTTATGGGTTAACTTACACTTAAATAACGCAATGATATTAATTGGATGCACCTACAGAGCACCTGGCACCTTAAGTAATTACGAGACCCAACTTATTAATACTCTGGAGCTGTTATCCACCTTACGCTACGATCATAAGATCCTATGTAAAGACTTTAACTTACCAGAAATCAACTGGGAAATACCCACAGGTCCAACTAAACTTGATAAGTTCTTAGGCACACTGGATATACTTGGCTGGAAGCAGACCGTCACAACCCCTACAAGAGGTAATAACGTACTAGACTTAATCTTCTGCCACAATATAAGTCCCCTTTCTACCCTAGTAGGTTCTGAGTTTTCAGGGAGTGACCACAAAACAGTGCTGTGTGCACTGCCACTTCCGTCAAGTAGCAATGCAACCCATACCCCCACTTCACAACAAATAACTTACAGGAACTACAGTAAGGCAGACTGGACTCTAGTAAAATCAATGCTAAGATCCTCAGAATGGAGTGAGTACTTCTATACTGATAGCCTCTCGAAAGCTCTAGACATCTTTTACTATAACTCCAACACATGCTTAGATGCTGTCATCCCATTTCAAACACTAAAGTTTTCCCCACATAGAAAGACATTCATAAAGCCAAAGGATCGTAGGAAACTGAAAAGACTGTCAACAAGTTACTTCAGGCGACACGACTTTAGTACACTAGGGTCAATACTTAGTACTCTTGGCTCCATCTCGCAAGCTCATAACTTGCGTATGAGAAATGAAGAATGCACGGCACTAGCCAGCACCACCAGAGTAGGTGCTCTCACAGAAATACTAAAGAAACGAATGAATCGCCAAAGCCATAAAATTCCTCTCCTTATAAACAAGGGCAAACTATACAGCAACCATGCAGACATGTGTGAACTGTTTAACGAGACGTTTGCAGCTAACTACCTTAAGCCTACAAGTCCACTTCTCGGTTTACAATCTAAAATAGAACTCCCTTCATCTTCAACGCTGAAACAAATCACTACAGTTCATTTCACTTACTCTAATATTAACCAAGCCGTTAATACTCTTAAAAACTCTAGTAGTGCCGGTTTTGACGGTATACCATCGTATCTTTATAAACACGGTGGTTCTGACATTTCCGTTTTATTACTTAAGATTTTTACAATGTCCCTAGAAAGCCAAACCTATCCAGATAAATGGAAAACGACATTTATAGTACCTAAACACAAATCCGGATCAAAAACTGAAGTCAACAACTATAGGCCAATCAATATTACACCCATAGTATCTAGAATCATTGAACGAATAGTTAAAGATGATATCCTCAAACGTATGCTCAGCTGCAATATTCTAAGTCCCAACCAACATGGATTCCTAAAATCCAGATCATGCATGACATGTCACGTTGACTTCTTTAACTACATAACTAGCAGCCGCGACAAACAACAACTAGTACTTGTCATCTACTTCGACATATCCAAAGCCTTTGACCGCGTTGACCACTTCCTTCTAATAAATAAGCTAAACTCCTTAGGAATAAGTAACCCATTATTAGGATGGATTGAATCATTCCTTAACAATAGGTCCCAAGTAGTTAGACTGGGTTCTGTAAACTCTAAACCTAGTCCAGTCACTTCTGGAGTAGTTCAAGGTAGCGTCTTAGGCCCCCTCCTATTCACTCTATATGTCAACGACATATGCAGCTGTTTCTCACTAGGCAAACCATTCATCTTTGCAGATGATCTTAAAGTAGCTTACACATTCCACTGTGATGACTTAGGGTACTTTCAGAAAGCTGTTCAGGAAGAACTAGATCGAGTAACTGCATGGTCCTCCACATGGAACCTAAAATTCAACCTTAAAATATGTGGTTGGATATGCTTCGGTGCACCCTCAATAAATATTAAACTGGTACTTGAATCCATCGACTTGCCTAAACTCCAAAGTGTTGCTGACCTAGGACTCAGGTACTCTAGTGACTTGACATTTTCCGAGCAAGTGGCGACACAGACGCGTAAATCGAGGATGCTTC